GGGGGGCGGGACACTGAGGCGTACGATGGCATCAAATATATAATCATAATACCAGACACGGCATGCTTGAGAGAATGAACGGATCAGCTCATCGTCAATTTATGATCCACGCTAAGTACAGTGCAAACAGAGTCCCGAACTCCTCGCTTATGTTGTTGCGTACGAATCTACGCTTTAAGCTTTACCGGCATGCAAAGCTCCAAATTGCACGAGACAAAATTCATCCTCAGCTCACCAAGTCTTCCAACCATCCAAACGCTCACAGACCTCTCCGAAAGGAACACAATCTGACTTGCACACCGTCCCTTGCTCCGGCAACTCTCCTTTGTCAAAATACTTCTTCACATGCTCCCACATACAATCTGAGGGTGGAAAGAGCGCACCATGGCCCACGGAGTCCTGCTCGAGGAACACACTGCCTTTGTATCTCTTCGCCATCTTAGCCGCGCTCTTCGCTGGAGTCGCAGGATCCAAGCGGTTGTTGACAAACAAAATGGGTACATCGTCTGCTTCAAAAGGGCCATCAAAGCGCCACTTAGTGCGTAGTGAAGACGGCCAGGACCAGCAAGCAATTTTGAAATCAGCTTGGAGACCGGCCACTTCGGAGCCGAAGCGCTCGGTCAAGTTTTGCAGGTAGTTTTGGAAAGCGGAGAATTGGTCGTAGCGATCCGAGACAGGTTCAGGACCATCGCCGCAATGGACCGAGGGTGTAGCTTCACCACCGAGGTATTGCTGTGCGAGGAGCTTGTCGCTGAAGGCATCTTTGGTAGGTATGGGCCGCTGCCAAAAGGGTACACCAGGATTCTGTTCCGTTGCCACATCATTGAGGAATTTGGCAAAGGATCTGAAGAAGAGTATGGGCTGGTAAGTGGTACTCATGAAGCCCTGAACGACGACTGATCTAGTAATTGGCGTCGCTCGGCCGTCACCTGTCGCATATGCCGGGACTTTCTCGAGCAGATCCAGCAACGCGTTGAAGCGTTTCTTGACATCCTCTGGACCTTTGTCGCTTTCACGATAGAAGGCGCAGTCATTTTTGCCGTAGAAGCAGGATTCGAAGAAGAACTCACGTATCGGTAAGTGGTCATCGATTGATCCCTCGTACCGATCGACCCAGTTGTCTGCGTCCAAGTTGGCGTCTAGGAGCATTCGGCCAACATGTTCAGGGTACATGGCGGCAAAAGTCTCGCCCAAGAAGGTCCCATAGGAGACACCATAGTACTGCAACTTCGGCTCAGGCCCCTTGGCTTTCTCGCGGAAAGGCTGTTGGTCGTCGCCGCTTGCGTTCAGCCTTCTGCTGTCGCTAGCTCTCTTATGCGACTCAACCTTCTTGACAATCTCCAGCAGATCTCTCGCCACGTATGCTGTAGAGATATGCTGCCTGATATTGTCGCCATTCGGGTACCTTCCGTTGTGCGTGGATGCACAGAGCTCACCACGAGCCCTCTCTGCAGCCCAGTTGAATTTGAGCGCATACTCACTCGAGGTCAGACCACCAACCGCCTCCTTCTGATCATACCAGACTTCCGCCTGCACGGCATCTTCAAAGCAATACGTATTCGGCTCGCTTCGGAAAATGCCTCGCGGATCAAAAGAGAGGATCTCATAACTCTTCGGGCCTTCGAGCTTTTTCTGCACCAACTCGGCGTTGTCTAGCACCCATAAAGTACCAGGACCTCCAGGTCCACCCGGATTCGTGATGATCGTCCCGCCGTGATTTGGATCTGATGTTGGGACACGAGCCGGCAGCCGGATGATGGGTAGTGATACATTGTTCGGATTTGATTCATTCCTCCAGTCCAGAGGAACAGTAAGTCTCGCACACTGGAATTTATCGCCATAACATGGCTCGTATACGAGCTCCGTCGAGCTGTTCAGACTCGACCAATCAAACCTAGCTTCCTTCGAGGCAGAAGTGATATTTGAAGGACTCCCAAGGTTCCAGTATAACGGCGTTATTGCTTGCACTGGATTGATGTAGGTGCACAGGAACAAAAGTCCTACTCCTAGGAATGTCATACTGTTGCATCAGTGAAAGAAGAGAAAGCTACTGTGAAGCTCAAGTGTGAAGGTTGGTCACAAGATAAGAAGTCGTGCGGTGGCCGCCGAGCCTGCCGATCTTTTCTGCCTTACAGCACCCATGTTGCCTCAGATTGCGAAGGTTTACTGCTCCCACGGTCGTCGCGTGACTGACAACTCGTCAATATGAACATGGGAGATGCTCGAGGATATGCAGTTGTTGCTGTGCAGTCGATGGAAGGGAGGGTCTTTCGCGTGAGTAATCGTTATCTGATTGATCCGACTACCAGTTTCTGTGCAACTGCAGTTTTGAGACAAGCGCTGCAAAGCATCAAGCTAAACCTAAAATGCTTTAGCGTTTCCTGTGTTACCAAACTCTCTTCATGTCTCTTGCTGTCAATATCAACCATCATCCCAGATTTCGCACACGGTTTGCGTGAGCAGCATGACTATCCTCGAGAGATTACTCATCATTGTCAATGCAAGCTTGCGATTGACGTGTTGACCGAATGAGTCCGGAGCAAATTGTGACCAAAGTAAATGCATTCGCACATCACAATGCAGCGTGATACTTTGAGAGCTCGCCCTTCGAGTGTTGGGATCGAGCCATTCATCATGCAGTACATCTGTTCCAGAGTAGACAAAGATTTGAAGAGACCCTGAGAGTAGTCGTGATTGAAAGAGTTGGGATAATGTACAGCTATCTACCTTTCCACTTTAGTCTACCACTTCGAGCATCCTCTTCATCCTCCGAGGTGCTTCACTGCTTCTCTTCAACATCAGTCTCTTCAAGTGGCTTGTTCAAGCCAACTCTCTCCAGCGTCGAGATGATTTCGTGAGTACCCGACCCAGTGACTTTACTAACTGAGTTCTTCCTGTCCGTATCGACTACCAGTCTGATCAGATCTGGCCGCATGTAATGTCCCCCGAAGTCATTCAAAGCTTTGCTTAGATGTGTCTCATCAAGGTCAATGTCCACAAACACCAGTCCTTCGAAATCTTCTGCAGGTCGCTTAATCAGACCCTGGCCGTCTGGACCGTAGATTCGTGTGTTGCCGTTGTAGATATGGTTATCTTCAGGCTCACGTCCAGGTGGGGTCTGGAGCTTGACACCCTCTGCAGAGATCATCTGGAAAGGAGCGAGAGTGAAGGAGCCAGTCTCGATGGCGTAGGCCGGAGTCACGATATCAGCATTGGCATCGCTGATGTTGGTGTAAGGGTCTGGGTACTTGAGAGTATCGGCGTGAGGGTACAGTGGCCAAGCGGCAACGTGAACTTGTTCACCGAGTGAGACGGCATAGGACTTGAGGAAGGGATTCATGTTTTCCCAGCAGTTGAGGTGGCCGATGCGACCGATCTCGGTGTCAACGACCATGGAGGTAGTATCACCGGTGCCGTCGCCGAAGACGAGACGCTCGACATGGGTTGCGCGGATCTTGCGGCGGTGATTAATGACGTTGCCGCGACGGTCGATCATGACCTGTGTTGTGTAGAGGCTGTTGAGATCCAGCTCGGAGTAGCCTAGGGAGACAAAGATATCATTCTCTTTGGCGGCCTTGCGGATACGGTGCATCTCTGGGGAGTCGGAAGCAAGACTGTTTTCGCGGTACTTCTTCAACAGAGGGAGGCTTTCCTGGTAGCTGACGCGCCACATCCTGATTGTGAAATATTCGATCAGCTTCCTTTCTTGATCGGCAGAGACCACTTGAGGACTTACCAGTATGGGTAGCCTGGGATCCAGAGCTCTGGGAAGGCGATGAGCTTGCAGCCTGCTTTGCCTGCTTCATTGATCCAATGGATAGTCTTTTGAACGGATAGCTCGAGATTGAGCCAGCCTGGCTCGGCGTTGACCGCTGCAGCCTTGTATTTCATGATTGTTGCGACCATGGTGGTGGGCGTGTTAGAGGTCTGTAGACGACGATTTGATAGAGACGATGCGAATAAATGGGTGTCTGATGCTGAGCAGGTGTTGTCGCATCTCCAGCGGTCTTATATATTGCTTGTAGACAGGCATAATGGATGTAGGAAGGAGCTGTTGCGGGAACGTACGATAGCACTTTCGTAACACTGGCCTCGGTGACCTTTACTGTTTCACCCAAATGCGGAATGTCGTTGGTCCCGTCTGCACATACAGTGGGCCAGCAGTGCTAGGAATTGCGAAAATGTTGTCGTCTGTCTAGGGCTCATGCCAAGGGGCAGCGCATGCCTGAGAGGGCGTTGCGTCTCTCTTCTCAGACCCCTGTCAGGGCTTGCTTTCGTAATGAGGAGTTGTGGAGCATGCGTATGCAAGACTGCATTTGCCACCATATTGATCGAACCATCATCGGACACATACGGGATCGTGAAGAGCAGGTGTCACACCGAGGATGCCTTGATTTGTTGATGTATTGTCACAATTTGATCCTTCCGTCCATACTAAAAGCGCCTGCTTGATTGGCGGTAAATCTGCTGAAAGATCAGAAATCCACAATGCGCTCTTGCGATGGTAGCTTCAGGCATCATAACGCTACGAGAAATCTTGCATTGCTTGTCCACCCGCTGTACTTCTATTATTTTGCTCAAATATGCGCATGTGAACGCGGGCTTCTGTGTTTGTGGCGCGTCATGGTGTCCCAGCTTGATCACGGAAACCCCGATATTGTATCCGGAAAATGACACAAGAGCAGCAGATGAGCTCTGTAGAAGCTGCTGTTCATACAAGCGTATACTGGCGCATCGCGTAGACGGTTACCGATGAATGATGTTCAGGTGAAGAAAAAGCGAAGGAAAGTCAAAGTCACATGCACGAATCTCAATTTGGCAAGTGGGTCCTCCACTTCCACTTCGCACGACCATAACTCTCCTTCACACTCACACGACATCCGCTCTGTTCACAACGACCTCAATGTCTTCCAACGTTGGCCTCAGCACGCCGCGAGGCTCAGGCACGTCAGGCTACGTGCAGCGCAACTCTGCCAATCTCCGACCACGCGACGACGTCAAACCCTACCCCACCGAAGTCGACTCGATTAAGCACCGACAACGACAGCCCGACAAGGAGATCCTTGAGCATGAGAAGAAGCGAGAGATCGAGGTAAAGGTCTTCGAACTGAGGGACAAGCTGGAAGAGGAAGGGTAGGCGCATCAAAGGCGGTAAAGAAGGACAAATGCTGATATTGTGATAGCGTCGACGAGGACGAGATCGACGACCAGTGCGATGCCCTGCGGAAGAAGCTGGAGAAGGAGCAGAATGGGAAAGGACCGAACGCCAAAGGCCTCAAGTCACATCAGGTCCATGAGCTTGCGCGCGCAAAGATCGACGAGAGCGAGAGGCTCCGAAAGGCGCTCGGCATAGGGAAGGACTATGAGGAGGGAAGTCACTGGCGCAAGCAAGAGGAGAGGAAGCTTGAGATGGAGCGTGAACGCGCAAAGGGCGAGATTGGCCGCGATCGAGACTAAGTGCACAATGGCATTGGTCTGCCAAAGTGTACATGGCACGGCGCTCCAGAACCTTTGTCCGCATCGTGTGGTTCTGCCTTGCGCGATCAACAGGTCAAGGTTGGCATTTGTTGGTCCTCTCGCTGCCATGAAATTTCACTGGAGTCGGCATGGCATCCGCCATTTGAGGCCTATCAAGATCGACGTCACCTTTGAAGTTCGCTGCTGGCGGCCCACGATGGTTTCATCAGGTTCTACTTCGAGAGCTGGCTGGCCACTCCTCTTCGAGGCTGCAGCATGATAGAAGGCGCGATCGCGCCACAAGTCATGATGCTCGTCGGTGCCGATCCAGCGACCAGCCCCACGGCTCTCACATTATTGGCATGTTCTGATGACGCGAGCAATTTTCTTCACCGAAGCGCATCAAGACACATGCTCAGGGCTCGCAGAATCAGTTTGCGAATAAAGGGCAACCAGACACCGCTTCGAGGAGCATTGTTCTCGCCATCACAGCGACGCAGCAAATTTCAAGCTACGCGGAAATGCAGTGCTACTTTACACAATACTGCTTTAGTGGCACCTCAGAAACTTGATTATAATTACGGGGACTCGCTGCTCGTATCGTGACAAAAAAACCTGCGATTCAAGGACGTGACAGACCAGACGAGATCTTTTCTTTGCGGCTCGCGTATGCCACGATGCGTTTGAGACAAGCGATGGCATCAGCGACCATCTCCCAAGTCTCGTCCAGCGGGACGGCGCTCAACGAACTGACGTATGTCACGCGCACAACCACAGCCACTGTCATTCAGCCTCCTCCCCCAGGACTCAGCTGGTTCTGGACCACGCATGAGGGCCGAAGTACAATCATATGGGTGCACAAGAGCACATCTTCGTGGCTCACTGGACCAATCACTATCTCCAGCAGTCCAACGACATCTACAGAGACATCAGCAAATGCCACGTACCTTCCAGGCATCGACGCAGGCCCCGAGTCTACAAGTACGTCTGCTCCTACTACGCCTACGAGGAAGTCTGCTACCCAGGCTGTCGTGATCTCCCTGAGCACAACGATTCCTGTTTTGTTGGGAGCTTTCTGCGCCTGGTTCATGTACAGACGCAGAAGCAAGAAGAGGCCGATTATGAAGACAGAGGACTCCGAGAATGATGAATGCGCAGCCGTTGAAACGGACGGTGCAGTAGTCAGCGAGTTATCCGATGTGAAAGATCCACGAGAGGTGGAGGACACGGGTATTTCGGAAATGCATGTGCCTCCTGTCGAGCTTGAGGGTGATGCACCAGCTCAGGTGCTCAGATCGGATCATGAGCTTTCCGAGGGAGTGAACTGGTTTCGCGAGACAGTAGGTGCCGTTCTGAGTACGAAGTGAAGATGGAGGCGGGGCGCCCTAGTGCCGCACATGCATTAGCGCGACTGCATTCTCAGGTTTGCCACATCCGCTGCTCACAACGAGTTTCTTCTTGACACCTTCAAAACATTAGCGCCTGATCACACAACTCCTCGCGCACGATGGCCGCATCACCAGATAAGCCACCGTCTGCAGACAAGCCCCCGACAATGCCGTCTGCTTTCCTCATTCCGGAGCTGCTTGAAAACATCATCATGCACCTGCCGCTACGCGACATTCTGCTCTGTCAGCGCGTAGGCACCCAATTTCGCAACCTGGTTCAAGGCTCCAGCACCATCAAGAAGACTCTGTTTCTGGAACCGGCGACGAGCGATATGGCGGAGCTCTGCTTCGGAGTTCCATCAAATTTCAGGAACACGATTGTTAAGCACGTTCGGATAGAACATTGGAAGACCTCGACAAAGGGCGAGATCGTCTGGCCGCTCTTGAACCCGTTCCTGGTGTCGTGGGTCGAACAGCTTGTCCTCAAGCTTAAACATTTGCTGACGTGCCGCTACAGACAATTCGAGACGGAGAAACGCGCCTGGAAGTTCGCGGCTCTCGATGTATTAGCATCTCCCCCCTTCGACGCCGAAGTTAGGCCCTTGATGAAGCTTGATAGCTCCTTCTTCGATTCGCATGAGTCACGCGCCGCAGACACGGAGGACTCTGGCGCCTCGACTGCACCGCAGCTGACAGCCAAGAGCCTGCCGCCAATGCTAATCACTCACCCGCCTTCCAGAAGTCTAACGGCGTGGGAGCGGCCAGATAATATTGTGGAGGATACAGCAGATGAGTATTCACGGGTGGGTGTACGATTTGATGCTTTACTCAAAGCTGCAAGCACCGAAAGGACCGCTGTCGAGAGAATCTTTCTCCCGAGGGGAACGGACCTAGCTGGTGCTTACCATTGGCGTGTCCTTCCGGAGAGCGCGCTTGACCGCGTCACTGGATGGGAGATGCTCGCTGTACTGAACAAGACGGATCCGAAAGACATGAGAGAAGAGATTGATCGCATCATCAAAGCTCTGAAGAAGTGGGACTATGTTGTCGATGGAAAATCAGACGCAGATGGACAGACGGAAACGTTCGCCTGGGAGGTGGAAGATGTGGAGCAGGACAGCCTTTTCGAGACGGTCACTGTGGGCTCTGGTCCTTGGTAGAGACTGCGCGAGGACAATTTGTGCTGCAGAGAGACCTCCACGAGTACGCAAAGAATGGGATCGTGCCGCAGATAAAGCGTTGGACGGGGGGACCGGAAGAAGGCAGGCTTCGCATGAAGATTCAAAGAATGAAGCATGAGAGCCTCTTTGTAACGACGGTCTTAACGCGAAGACAGAGACTTGTTCGCATAAGATAGTGAGTACCGTTCTGCACACGAAGTGAAGTGAAGCGCGCTAGCAGCTGAATTGCATTAGCTAGCGCGACTGCGCGGTTCAATTTCTCGCGTTCTCTGTCAACAACAAACACGTTACCAACAACATCCACCCCTCTCGACTTACCACCGAGACCGACCGCTCGCGATGGCAATGCCGCCTCCTTCAGGCAAGCCGCCGCTGCCAAAGCCATCGCCGCTCAAGATACCAGAGCTGCTCGAAGAAGTCATCATGCACCTCCCATTGCGCGACATCCTGCTCTGCCAGCGTGTCGACACTCACTTCCGTGACGTCGTGCAGGGCTCAAGCAACATCAAGAAGGTGCTGTTTCTGGAGCCGGCTACCGACAAGGACGTCGTATACCACGAGACTGTCTGGGCTGGTGCGGAATGGAAGCGTTGCGAAGACGGCGAAGTTGTGCGCCCGCTCATGAATCCGTTCCTCATGTCGTAAGTGCAGCTATCTGTTATCGCATTGTAACCGCTGACGTGCCCCATCAGGATCTTTGCAACCGAAAAGCGCTTCTGGGAATGGGCACCTTTCGACACGAAAATTCGTCGCTCTTACATGGGCGTGAACTGCGGAGAGGATCCTCAAGACTTCTCTAACCTCAGTCTCCCTGGTACTAGTACTCATTTCAGAGTAAGCAAATCCAGGGTTGCAAAGGCTGCGAAGATGTACACGACACAGGCGCTGCAGGTCTACAGCAACTGCTACGCGCAGATGCTCCTCACCCATCCACCATGCAAAGAACTCGGCGCAAAGGCCTGGGAGGATGGATTCGCTGCCGTTGAGACTCCTGCTCTGCTCGAAGGTCCGGGGCTTGGTGTCCGCTTCGGTGCTCTTCGCGAATTTGCAGGTGCTTTGTTGAGTAGGCAACTACTCACATGCAGCCCTGCAAAGCCGCTCGTCTCCCTGCAAGTGACACTCGCCGGATTTCCGTTGTGGCGCGTCTGCCCGGAGAGCGTGCTTGACCACGTCACCGGCTGGGAAATGCTCGCGGTGATGAACAACCCACACTCCATGGACGACCAGATCGACCACATCATCACAGCACGCAAGACATGGGATCACGTTGCAGACGGGTCCTCGCACGGAGACAACGAGCCAAAGGAGGCGTTTGCTTGGGAACTGGAAACTGTGGAGCAGGAGAGCCCTTTTGAGACGGTCATGGTGGGTTCTGGCCCATGGTAGGACCTACGCATGGAGAGTCACGATTGGCACTTCGAAAAGTGGAACAGCACTTGGGAAGACGCAAGCAAGACTGCCAGCATGGACGGAGGCAATTTGGCGGGAGAAAGCATTGAAGTAGTCCAGCATGCAAAAGCCTGGCATACACGAAGACCCGCTGGTCTTCCACAGCTGAGCAGCTAAGTAATCGCCTGATGAAAGGCAACAGTGGCGTAGTTCTGCATCAGCACGCTTTGCGTAGGGCAAAGAAGAAAAGCGAACATTCAGCTACGAGAAACTTCTTACTACACTCTACTTCAACAAACATCGAGCGTGACGATATTCACGACATGAGACCTCAATCCCTATACCAAAAAGCCCATCAAACAAAATCCGAAAGACAATATATCTTATGCCATTCACATCAACAGAATTGCTTCCTCGCATGTGCTCATCCATTCATCTTCGCACGCAACAGCCGAGAGGCTGGAAACATCACATCAACAGCCGTTCACCTTCATCAGTACACTTTCACTCCATTCTCCGACTCTCCCATCCTACCAAATATTCATAATCCCCCCAAAGGGACTGCCCATTGCCATACCCATGAGCTCCGCCCCTCCACCAAACCGCTCTGGCGCAGCAAGAACCCCGAAAGGCCCCATACCCGCGAAGTGTGCGATGCGACCGTTGTTGATGTTTCCGTTTCCATGTATGTCTTGATGGTAACGTATAGCTCTTCTGTGGTGACGATTTCTCCCTCTTCCATACAAGTATGCATACATGTCACGGTCGTACATGCCACGATTGTAGCCGTTCTGCCACATCATCATGGGGTAGTTATAGCCGCCGTAGCCACCGCCATAGCCGCCATTCGACCAGTAGGTCATGTATTCTTCGTCGTAGGGGCCGCCGAACAATTGGAAGTTTGTGGCACTCCAGGGATTGATGAGGTGGTGGGCCATTGCGGCGTTGCCTTGGTCTTTGGGACAGGCAAGCTCAAACTTTTTGCGACTCGGTGTGGCGAGTGGGACTGATGATCCTGTGACGTACAATCGCTTGTATTGTGTCTTGAAAGTATTAGATGCGTGATGCGTTACTGTTTGATTAAGGAGCGAACTGAGAGTCGGAGTCGAGAAACTAAGGGAGAAAGACGCTGTAGGAACCCGGGGCATGCTCCTTTTATGCGCTCATGTCACGAACGCCTTGCGGGCGGGATTGCCTTCGTGCTGTGTGCCACGACTGACGGGGATGCAGGTCGGCCGTGGGGTGGAGGCAGGTCAGTAGGACGCCTGCACGGAACTGGTCACTGTGCTACTGAGGGCCGGCGTTCCCCTCCACTTCACCAAACTGGACTACACGTGTCGGCATTTGACGAGTCATGATCGGATCGCTGTGCGTGCGCCAACGGATGCGGCAGCTGGTATCGGTGCAATACAATGGGATTAATTGCGGTGATGTACAAACCCGAACCGGTCAGTGTGGCTGTTGCTGGCGTAAGGCGAGCGTGCCCGATGGAGTGCGATTGGGGCTACTCAACAGTGATCCGCACTGGGCATCCTAGTTTGCTGCATTGAGAAGAAAATTTTACTGTTGCCACACCTCATGTGCACAGCGGATCCGGCATGCGTGCGCCATGACTGGAGCATGACCACTTTGCATTGCCACGGTGAGCACCTAAACGCCTCGGCCGGTCAAGATTCCGTCTTGCATGGGTGATTGTTTGCTACATTGGGGCGAAGTGACTGCACGTATCCGTACGACCCTGTCGGTCATTGCCAAAGAGCGAGCTCGGTCGAAGGGGCTGTGCGTTCGGTGCGGCCTCTCATACATGACGGGAGCAGACAGAGTGGCCTCTGTTGTATCCCACACCCGCTCTCCAATCGTTTTGCATGGCTCTTCGGGCCACGCGCGTACGCGTCTGGTAAAGAACAGCCGATCCGCCGACGAAGGCACAAGGCAGTGGTTGCACAATGTGGCGAGTCTTCCCAATCTTGCTCATGCGGTAAGCTGTACGCCGCTTGTAGACGTGGCTGGACCAAAACAGCCAAGCCATATGAGCGATCGCGGATCTGACTGATCAAGCACAACACTTTCCCACACCAAACCCCCACATGATCGCGAATCACTTGGACGCCTTTTCCTGAGCCCTGTCTGAACAGAAAAGTTGCACTTTAGATGTTTCACGGGTCGTCATCGTCTCTCAGCCCAACAACACGACGCTCAGCAAGTTCGATGATCCTCTCGTTGAGGATGTCGCGCTGGAATCGTTGCGCGACCTTGCTGGCGGCCTCCAGCATCTTGCCAGTGCGGTCCTTCATGAGTGAGGCGATCTCGAGCGCCTTCATGCCACGTTCCTCACCCTCTCGGCACTCCGATGCGAGGAGCTGCAGCAAAACTTTGTCAACCTCTCGCTCCATGACGCCGACCTCTGTCTTTTGTTTGGAGGTCGCGTTTGTGTTCTCGACCAAGTCTTGGATCAGAGATAGTTGAAGCGAACTGCGAACGTATTGCTCTTCGAAGCCTCGCACGAGGGCCACTTCCTTGTCTTCCTCACTATCAGCAGCGACATGCGACGATACGGGTACTCTGAACTCGAAATCGGACAACAGTGGTCGTGGAAAGTAGGGATACTGTTCACCGCCCTTCAGGATGATGCAATGGAATCGATCGCCAGCGACAGCGACCGGCCAATAGCTCTCTTCTTTCTTCCCATCGGCCAGACGATCCATGGTCCTAGTATCGAGAAGGGGAACCCACTTCGCTTGTCCTGGCCTCCGCCAGTGCTGCAAAACGAGTAGAACGCCGTCGCTGTCGTAAGCGCAGGGATCTCCTCTATCGCTGAAGAAGATGCTCTTGAGCTCTGCGCCTTCGGGCAATGCGAGTATGTCTTCACTCTGGAAAGTCTCATCCCGCTTGATGTTCTCAATCGTATAGAGCAGACGAGTCGTGCCATCGCCACCAACAGGCCCATTGCCGACAGTCATCACATAGTCCCGCCAGCTTGCACAGGTGACGGCTGGAGTGGACTTCTGACGATAGACCTTCATCGGCAAACCGAACAAGCTGTACACACGGACGAGGCCAGCGGATGTAGTCGCGACCACACAAGTGTCGCTGAGGGACAACGATGTCACTTCCTCGCCCGGCGGCAACTGTGTCCGCCAGTCCACGCGAGCCGTCCAGGTCTCGTGTGGTCGATAGTATACGACAGCTGGGTGATCTCGTGCAGGCGGACACGAGAACAGCGAACCCTTCTCGTTGAGACAAGCCTTGTCGTACCGATATGGATCTGTAAAGTGAAAGTCTCGATGCTCTTCGCGATCGTAGAACTCGACAGTTACAGTATGATGCGTCTCTTGGTCCACTGTCCAGACAAATCCAGTAAGGTTCAGACACAAATAACGTCGATTACCTTTCCACGGTGTGCTGCCTGGCTGGAACGACTCGTGTATCTGCGGCTGCCAGGCACCATATGCTGCTTGACGCTTCGCTTGTGGCTGTTTGATCGAGTCCGCTGCACGCTTGCCGTACCGGTTTGGTTCTTCGGCATATCCAGCTCCATCGTCGTCCTCGATGAAATTGTCTTCACCGTCCATGGACATTGCGTCCGGGTCGAGAAGCAAGTCCAACTCATCTCCTTCGGCTCCTCGCCTGTGGTCGTTGGCCTTCGCGCCGTTCGAGATAGGCCTCCGTGCATTGCCAGAGACTTCGCCCAGAGGGTCGTTGCTGAGCGGAGCCGATTGCATGCCGACTTTGAGCAGGTATCTATGTGACTCTGGCACAAAGTCTTCGCGAATGAAGAGTTCGCCATTGCTGTTAGTGTAGGAAAGCACGTTGTCTTTGGGGTGGAATTGCACATCCAGAATGACATCGCGAACATCGTTGTACGTTTTGAGGATCCGTTGAGATCTGGTATCCCACAGCACGAGGTTCTTGTCAAGATCTGCTGAGATGAGAAGTGCACCGTTTTTCGACCAGGCTGTTGCTGTGATTGCGGCTTTGTGCCCACCGCTGAAGGCTTTCTGCCGTGACCAGTCGCTGCGAGAGACCACTTGCAGATCTAGGCGTTGAATTAGCGCTGCAGACGAGGGTTGAAAGGGAAGACTTGCCTCTTGTGGGTGTAGGTACAACCCATGCTCTACCATCAGGATGCCATGCAACCCGAATGTTAGCCTCAGAATCTGAACGCTCCATTCCGATCATGTTATCCACTCGCTTCACAAGTTGCGGCTGCTCCGAGCTCAAGGAGTACATGTAGATCATGCCATCGGTGCATGAAGCTGCGAGTGTGGTCCCACTGACATCAAATGAAATTTGTTTGACAGGTCGTAAGTGGTCACGAAGTACCATGATGTTGGTCATGTCGCTGGTATTGACAATCTTAACATCGTGCTCGCTGCGCAAAGGTCAGTGCCGGTGATCACGACCATCTGTGCCGAACTCACTCGCTAGCAACGGCAACCCATTGACCATCGGGACTGAGTGCAAGATCTCGTACAGGTGCAGTGCAACGCACGAGGACTTCATCCATTCTTTTGGTGATCAGATTGTACTTGGTCACTTCGCCTGTCTCGGCTCCAATGATAAAAAAGTCATTGGAGGCGACCACGGCCAAGTGATTCTCGGTGGTGACATCAATGATCGCAGGCTCATCGTCTGAGCCATGATCGAAGATTCGTACAGCTCCATTGAGGCCCGCTGTGATGAGTTGCTTCCCGTTTGGCGTATAGCTGAAGAAGGTCGGCCCTGGGGCGTCTACGGTATGTCTTAGCAATGCATCTGAAGTCGCAGTTGTCACACTCACGGGCTGGTCTTCCTCGCAGTGCCGCCATATTGTCTTGTTGTCGCGATGTGCAGGAAATCTGGAAGGGAGGTCTGGCTGAAGACGCGACACGCGTGGCAGGCGCGTCGAAAGTGGCGGCCACTCCCGCGTCGCGCAACCGCTGAACTCATTGGCGCCAAACACCGCACAACAAACACTTACCGCCGGACAACGACGATTTGCGACAGTCTCTTCAACGGTCAGTGTTAACGTCGCGGCGACTTCTTGTTTTTCATCTGACAATCAAGCAGCTGCTGCAGCACTACATCCACAACCAACAACCACGAACAACCCCGCAAAGATGAGCGCTCAGGACGCAACCAAGGCTGAGGAGGGCGCCGACACTCAGATGGACACTGGCTCTTTTGACAAGGGCAAGGGCAAGGCCGCCGCCATGAACGAGGCCATGGACGAGGACGACTCGGAGAACAGCGAGGAAGAGGTGAGTTTGCGACTGGACGACTTGATCTGACGATGAAGCTAATTCGAGTGCAGGGCGAGGGTGAGTGCGGTATCTCCAGCGACACGAATCGACCCGACAACTAACCACTGCGAACAGGCGAGCCAGAGGACGTCGATGAGGACAACATGGAGGAGATCGATCAGGACAACATCGTTGCAAGCCGCACTCGCGGCAAGAACATCGACTACGCCGAGGCCGCAAAGGAGCTGCCTGAGGAGGAGGATGAGGATGACGACGAGGACTTCCAGGACGACGACGCCATGGAGGAATGAAGAGTCCTCCACTCCACACCTCAATCTCTACACATCTTGCGAACCACGTCGCAGTCGCGGTAGGGTGCGCACATGCCACTGGGTGCCAACCAGAGTCAGATCTAACTGCCATCCAGTGTGCGACACACGTCTTGCATATCGGAGCTCAGCAGAATTGCATAGCTCTTGACGAGTATTCCGACTGTGCAAAAATAACATGAGCATTGCGAGAGGGTCCAGCAGGACTCTAGACTCGCCCACGAGTACAGCATCGCATAGCAAAACGAAAAGTCATCATCTGAAATGATCTTCGCTCCTCTCTCCCATCATTTGCTCGATTTTCTTGCCATGTCGTGTTCTGCAGAGCCAGCTGATCTCCCCACCTGTCACTCGAGTGAAAGAAAGTCAGGTGTAGGCAGTACGTCGGGATTTCGCGAGCTGGTCGACTAGTCTCGACGATCGACCCTGGGCGGCGCTCTCATGTGAAAGGCAAGCTCCTGTAGGTCGGTTCGTCGCACCTCGCCCATTTCTGCTTCCCGTGGCCTCCATCCTGCATAATTGTACGAAACGACTTGCGACTAGAGTGTATTTGACATGTGTCCGACATCGGGCGGAGGGGCAAATTTTCCTGCGGTCGCGAATCGTGGTCTCTGTCTGGCTCGCGTTGCTGTTCCGTATCCTCCCGATCTCCGCGTTCACTCGAACCAGCAGTTCCCGCCGAGCATTTTGCCGTTGCTGTCAGCTCGACGGATGGACGACCAGGGAAGATGATCGGCCCTCGCTGGCGTCGAAAGTACGAGACATGATGCATTTATGTGTGTCAATACATTGGGAGAGGTCCCCGCCGTCATGATGACTTGCGGTGATGCGGCGAAAGGGGGGTGTGTGCAGAATTGTGGTGGGAGCAGATCCATATGCAGGTCGCATGTGGTTTATGTTCAAGCATTTCCTATATCGAGCCTTTCATGTGGCAGCGATAAGGTGGCCAGGTCCGAGTGACAGGTGCGAATTACTCCACGGAAAAAGGCGAGGGGGCATTTCCGGCCAATGGGCATGGGAGGGAATAAGCTAGGGCGAGAGAAGCTCAGCGCTCGCGGCGCGATATGCAAGGCAATCTCACGGCACTTGCACCCGCTGAAGTCATTGTGCTCGCAGCGAGATTCAGTTGGCAAATGAGAACTCGGGCCTGCGCTGCGACAGGCGCGAAGGTGGCCGTCAAGCGTGCAGAGGCGACTTGGGAGGGTGTGGGCGAGGACCACTAAGGCCGTGGCATGCAGGTTGAAGCTGCGAGGCTAAATGCTAGCTCGTCGCTGGCCAGGCTGGGGAAGGCCAGGGTAGCACAGGACAATTATTTTCCAGAGCTGTCTGTATGGCCGAGCCTACGTGGAGTCGGTCAGCAGTCTCCACGTCGCCTCTCACGTCGCGGAAATGATGTGCACGCAGCGCAGCACACCATGCGACGGCGACCCAAGCACGCGGGTGGCAGTGGTCAAGATGAAGAGGGCGAGTCAGGGAGGCCGTCTGGAGAAATTGGGAGTTCGGTAGATGGCCGAGGTGGGATGTGAGTGTCATCCATTGAGAGAGGCGTAGCGTGGTCATATTCGTTGAGCAGACGGCTTCTCGCTGCACCCAGCGCAGCGCAGTAGTTAGTCGGCCAGCAGCACAGCAGCCACCGTCCGAGCCGAGCAAGCATTTGCTGTCCAGCGGCCAGCAGGCGTTGCCCTGAGCAGCAGCGACAGCGGCTGCTTGGAGGAGGTGGAGACGGTATAATTGCAGTTAGGCGCATTTCACTCGATCCCCACTGCACAACGGCTTGGTTGTAGAGAAAAGCCACGGTGCCCGCGCGCAATCACTGTCTTTCTCTCGTTACCGCTCCCTCTCCTCCCTCTCCGGCACACTGTACTCGCACCGCACACCCTGCTGCCGCTCCCTCACCGCACTTCTGACGGGTAAGTCACTTGAAACGCCGCGAGGACTGCTGCCTGCCTCCCTCCGCCATCGTTGGTCGTCCATTGCCTGTCTGCGCGCCTTGCCACGAGCCCGGAAAGTGTTATTGCTTTGCCACGTGCACCCGTCTGCGACTCGCGATCTGCCTTGCTCCCCCACGAAAGGCTACATTCCGGCTGCGCATCGCTCGATACCTTATCGGTCGCGAATCAGCGAAACTCTGCTGCTTTCTTCTTTCCCCAAACCGAAAGCCGCCGAGTGCAGAGCAACACAGTCGTCGACATCATCTCTCCGCAGATCCCGTTTCACCAAGAACCGCTGCACCACGACTTGGCTCTACCTGCCTCCAGCGCGAGCTTTACTTTCTGCACCTACCCTGGCCGATCCCGCATCTCGACCGCTTCCGCTGCTGAAATTCCACCTGCTCCCCTCCGCTTCTGCCCGGACTCCCGTCAACGTGAAAGAAAGCACATTCACCCATCTGGCCATTATTGTCACGAGTGGTGGCGTTCTCTACATACCTTCTCATTCAGCACTAACTCCTCTTCCCACCAAATAGCGCTGCACACACGCCCTCACACTTCACACCACCCGATAGCAGACGCGAGCTCTGTACACTGCCGATCCGCAACGAGCGACACCAACCCCATCCTCGAACCATTCGGCATTACGCCGATAGAATGGGTCGAGTCTCCTTCGCCGACGATGTAAAGCCACCAGCCGACGACCACGAGATTGAAGAAGAGCCCGTCAATGTCTATCCTTACCAGAACACGCCCGAGAATAAGTCATGGGCTGGTGCGCTGCCATTGAAGCAGGGTCTTTACGACCCAGAGCTTGAGAAGGATGCTTGCGGTGTCGGTTTCGCTGCCCACATCAAGGGCAAGCCGAGCCACAAAATCGTCACAGATGGTGAGCATTGAGATCGAAGAAATAGCATGTGGCGACAATAGGCTAACGAGTGGCAGCACGCAACCTGCTCTGCAACATGACCCATCGAGGTGCGGTGGGTTCAGATGCACGAGACGGTGATGGCGCTGGCGTCATGACTTCCATCCCACACAAGTTTTTCGTCAAAAACTTTGAGCGAGAGCAGGGTTTCCAGCTACCAGAGCTTGGCAAATACGCCGTGGGCAACGTTTTCTTCAAGCCTGAAGAGGAGGCATTGAAGGAGACGCTCGCACAATTCGAAGACATTGCAGACCAACTCGACCTGCGGGTGCTTGGGTGGCGAGAGGTGCCAAAGGACAGCACACTCCTCGGCCCAGCAGCCAGCTCGCGAGAGCCGATCATTCTGCAGCCTTTCGTTGTCTCCAAGTCAGTCTACGGCACAGGGAAGGAAGTTCCAGCCGACTTCAACGAGAAGTACGACGAGCAGGTGTTCGAGAGACAGCTGTACGTGCTCCGAAAGCGTGCAACCCACATTATTGGTCTGCACAACTGGTTCTACATTTGCTCTCTGAGCAACAAGAACATTGTCTACAAGGGACAGCTTTCGCCAGTTCAGGTCTACGACTACTACCATGATCTGGTCAACGTCGATTACGAGGGTCACTTTGCATTGGTGCACTCTCGATTCTCGACCAACACATTCCCATCTTGGGACAGAGCCCAGCCACTCCGATGGGCAGCACACAACGGAGAAATCAACACGCTTCGAGGCAACAAGAACTGGATGCGTGCTCGCGAGGGTGTGCTCAAGTCCGAGTGGTTCGGCGATGATCTGGAATCGCTCTACCCAATTATCGAGGATGGCGGCTCTGATTCTGCTGCTTTTGACAACGTTCTCGAGCTGCTTACGATCAACGGCGTCCTCTCTCTGCCAGAAGCCGTGATGCTGATGGTGCCCGAGGCATGGCAGGGCAACGAGACCATTGATGGTGCGAAGCAAGCCTTCTACGAGTGGGCAGCATGCATGATGGAGCCTTGGGACGGTCCAGCCCTCTTCACATTCTCGGATGGCCGCTACTGCGGTGCCAACCTTGACCGAAATGGTCTGCGTCCTTGCAGATACTACGTTCTCGATGATGATCGCATCATTTGCGCATCTGAAGTTGGCACCATCACCATTGATCCATCTACCGTCGTCCAAAAGGGCAGACTGCAGCCAGGACGCATGCTTTTGGTCGATACGCAGGCAGGCAGAATCATCGACGATGCTGAGCTCAAGGAGACTGTGTCATCTCGCCAGGACTTCAGATCTTGGCTCGACGCACAGCTGCTTGTTCTGCCAGACATCTACAAGAAGCTGTTGGACAACGGCACAGACCTGTCCTTCAAGCTCACAGACACCACAGTCAATGATGACCCAAGACTGAAAGCATTTGGCTACTCTTTGGAGCAAGTGTCTCTTCTTCTTGCTCCCATGGCTGCAGACTCCAAGGAAGCTCTTGGATCCATGGGTAACGACGCACCTTTGGCATGCTTGGCACAGCAGCCACGTCTGCTCTACGAATACTTCCGTCAGCTGTTCGCGCAGGTCACGAACCCACCTATCGATCCAATTCGTGAGGCGGTCGTCATGTCGTTGGGCTCCTACGTTGGTCCACAAGGCAACTTGCTCGAAATCAACAAGGAGCAGTGCCACCGACTCTACCTTCCATCGCCAATGCTCTCGGTTGAGGAGTTCAACGCACTCAACCAGATCCCGTCTGTGCACCCAGACTGGAGCGTGGCCACCATCGACATCACCTTCCCCAAGAAGGAGGGCATTGCTGGTTACTACGAAGCTCTCGACCGCATCTGCGAGGCTGCAGGCGAGGCCATCGAGAACGGTGACAAGATCATTGTTCTCTCTGACCGCAAGACTTCTACCGACCGCGTTCCTGTGTCTGCACTTCTCGCCACCGGTATGGTCCACCACCACTTGGTCCGCAACCGATGGCGTGCTCAGGCTGCGCTCGTTGTCGAGACTGCTGAGGCTCGTGAGGTGCACCACATGTGTGTCCTCGTTGGTTATGGCGCTGACGCGGTCTGCCCATACCTCGCCATTGAGTGCATTCTGAAGCTTGATCGCGAGGGTCTGATTCGCAAGAAGATTAGCCCAGAGAAGCTCATTGACAACTACAAGCACTCTTGCGACGGTGGTATCCTGAAGGTCATGTCCAAGATGGGTATCTCGACCCTCCAGTCCTACAAGGGCGCACAGATTTTCGAGGCTCTTGGTATCGATGACTCTGTCGTCGACCGCTGCTTCACTGGAACTGCCACTCGTATCAAGGGTATGACTTTCGAGCTCATTGCTCAGGACGCCTTCGCTCTTCACGAGAAGGGTTACCCATCCCGTGACATTCGCGAGATTCCAGGTCTTGCTGAGACCGGAGAGTACCACTGGCGTGACGGTGGTGAGCCACACGTCAACGACCCAGTCTCGATCGCGAACATCCAGGATGCTGTCCGCAACAAGAACGACAAGTCCTACGAGGCATACTCCCGATCGGAGTACGAGCAGATCAAGAACTGCACACTTCGTGGACTGCTCGACTTCGACTTCGAGGCTACTACTCCCATCCCAATCGAGCAGGTCGAACCATGGACTGAGATTGTGCGCCGCTTCGTCACTGGTGCCATGTCGTACGGTTCCATCTCCATGGAGTCTCACTCCACCCTCGCTGTCGCCATGAACAGACTTGGCGGCAAGTCCAACACCGGTGAAGGTGGTGAAGACCCAGAGCGAAGTTTGCCAATGGAGAACGGCGACACCATGAGATCTGCCATCAAGCAGATTGCTTCTGGACGTTTCGGTGTCACCAGCAACTACCTTGCCGATGCTGATGAGCTTCAAATCAAGATGGCTCAAGGAGCCAAGCCTGGTGAAGGTGGTGAGCTTCCTGGACACAAGGTCTCGGGCCCCATCGCCAAGACTCGTCACTCCACTCCAGGTGTCGGTCTCATCTCTCCTCCACCTCACCACGACATTTACTCCATCGAGGATTTGAAGCAGTTGATCTATGACTTGAAGTGCTCCAATCCTCGATCACGAGTTTCTGTCAAGCTTGTCTCCGAGACTGGTGTCGGTATCGTGGCGTCTGGTGTCGCCAAGGCCAAGGCTGACCACATTCTGATTTCTGGACACGACGGAGGTACCGGAGCCTCACGATGGACTGGTATCAAGTATGCCGGTCTGCCATGGGAGTTGGGTCTCGCCGAGACTCACCAGACCTTGGTCCTCAACGACCTTCGTGGTCGTGTCATTGTGCAGACTGATGGTCAACTCCGTACTGGCCGTGATGTCGCACTCGCCTGTTTGCTCGGTGCTGAGGAGTTTGGCTTCGCTACAACTCCTCTTATCGCCATGGGCTGCATTATGATGAGAAAATGCCACTTGAACACCTGCCCGGTCGGTATCGCCACTCAGGATCCTGAGCTCAGGAAGAAATTCAAGGGTACGCCCGAGCATGTGATCAACTTTTTCTACTACGTCTCGAACGAATTGCGTGCAGTCATGGCCAAACTTGGATTCCGCACGGTCAACGAGATGGTCGGCCACACAGAGATGCTCAAGGTTCGCGAGGACCTTCGCAATGCAAAGACTGAGAACATCGATCTCAGCTTGATCTTGACTCCAGCCCACACCTTGCGATCTGGTGTTGCTACCTACAACGTCCGCAAGCAGGACCACAAGCTTCACACTCGCTTGGACAACAAGCTCATCTCCGAGTCCGAGCTGGCTCTCGAGAAGGGTCTGCCATGCCGCATTGAGTGCGACATTGTCAACACTGATCGTGCACTTGGCGCAACTCTGTCTTACCAGATCAGCAAGCGCTACGGCGAGAAGGGTCTGCCAAACGACACGATCCACGTCAACATCCGTGGCTCGGCTGGTCAGTCTTTTGGTGCTTACCTTGCACCAGGTGTGACACTCGAGCTCGAGGGAGACTCCAACGACTATGTCGGAAAGGGTCTGTCTGGTGGTCGCCTGATCGTGTACCCATCCCGCACGTCGGTCTTCAAGGCGGAAGAGAACGTCATCATCGGTAACGTTTGCTTGTACGGTGCCACTGCCGGTACTTGCTTCTTCCGCGGTGTTGCTGCTGAGCGTTTCGCTGTCCGCAACTCTGGTGTCACTGCCGTCGTCGAGGGTGTTGGTGATCACGGTTGCGAGTACATGACTGGTGGTCGCATTGTCGTTCTCGGCAGCACTGGTCGCAACTTTGCTGCTGGTATGTCCGGAGGTATTGCCTACGTTCTCGACCTGCACAAGGACTTCGAGGGTAAGGTCAACCAGGAGATGGTTGAGCTCTCTGGTCTCGAGGACCCACATGAGATTGCCTTCCTGCGCGGTCTCATTGAGGATCACCACCACTACACTGGCTCCGAGCTGGCTGCCCGTATCCTGCTCGACTTCAACCGTGCTCTGCCACACTTTGTCAAGGTCCTCCCAACCGACTACAAGCGTGTTATGGAAGAGGAGGCACAGAAGAAGGCTGCTGCCGCAAAAGCAGAGTACCCTCTGCCAATTCTCCCAGGCAATGCCGTGCGCAACCTCCACGAGACCTCCCGTGAGCACGAACACGCCGCTGAGAAGAAGAAGGCCAGCCTTGGCGATCTCGAGGAGAGTGTGTCTGACGCCGCCCGCGAGAAGAAGCGATCGCTCGTTCTCGACAAGACCAAGGGCTTCATGAAGTACCAACGCCGTGCAGAGAAGTACCGACCTGCAAAGACGAGGACTCGCGATTGGGCTGAGCTCAGCAGCCGTCTCAACGAGGATGAGCTCAAGTACCAGACTGCCCGATGCATGGACTGTGGTGTGCCATTCTGCCAGTCTGACACTGGTTGCCCAATCTCCAACATTATTCCAAAGTGGAATGAATTGGTGTTCCAAGGTATGTTGCTTCCCTTTATTATTGACCGTGCAAGGCGCGCAGGCGAGAAAATCTTGTACTGACATTGTGCGCAGGTCAATGGAAGGACGCCTTGAACAGGCTGCTCATGACCAACAACTTCCCAGAGTTCACAGGTCGTGTCTGCCCAGCTCCTTGCGAGGGTGCTTGCGTTCTCGGCATCAACGAGGACCCAGTTGGCATCAAGTCCGTCGAGTGCGCCATCATCGATCGTGGTTTCGAGATGGGCTGGATGGTGCCAACACCACCAAAGATCCGCACCGGCAAGAAGGTTGCCATCATTGGATCTGGTCCAGCCGGTCTTGCTTGCGCCGATCAACTCAACAAGGCCGGTCACTCGGTCACCGTCTATGAGCGCTCTGACCGCGTCGGTGGTCTGCTCATGTACGGTATCCCTAATATGAAGCTCGACAAGAACGTTGTCCAGCGCCGTGTCGACTTCATGGCTGCTGAGGGTATTGAGTTCAAAACTGGTATCTTCGTTGGCGAGGGCGACGTCACTATGGGCTCTCTGCGCAAGGAGAACGACGCCGTGGTCATGGCCACTGGCTCGACTCTTGCTCGTGACCTCAAGATTCCAGGCCGCGACCTCAACGGCATACACTTTGCCATGCAATTCTTGCACAAGAACACCAAGTCGCTCCTCGACTCTGAGCTTGCCGACGACGCCTACATTTCGGCCAAGGGCAAGAACGTCATTGTCATCGGAGGTGGTGACACTGGTAACGACTGCATTGGTACCTCCGTCCGTCACGGTGCCAAGTCGGTCATCAACTTTGAGCTTCTGCCACAGCCACCAGCCCAACGTGCCAACGATAACCCATGGCCACAATGGCCCCGTATCTACCGTGTCGACTACGGTCACACCGAGGTCAAGACCCACATGGGCCGTGACCCACGTGAGTTCTGCATCATGTCCAAGGACTTCGTCGATGACGGTAGCGGAAACGTCAAGGGTGTCAACATCAAGCGTCTGGAGTGGACCAAGAACTCCAGCGGTGGTTGGGACATGAAGGAGATCCCGGGCAGCGAGGAGTTCTTCCCAGCTGAGCTCATCCTCATCTCCATGGGTTTCTTGTCCCCAGAAGACAAGGTCTTCGAGGGCCAGATCGAGCTCGACGGCCGCAAGAACATCAAGACCCCTCCAGGACACTACACCACCAACATTGATGGTGTCTTTGCCGCTGGTGATTGCCGACGTGGTCAATCTCTCATCGTCTGGGGCATCAACGAGGGCCGCATGTGCGCACGCGACGTCGACTCTTACCTCACTGGTGTTGGCACCATGCTTCCAGTCACTGGTGGTATCGTCAAGCGACCACCATACGAGCTCCTCTCCAAGCAACAGGACGCACCAAAGGAGCTCATCACTGCTGCCGCATAAATCAGCAGTACAGCAGACTGATACAAGTTTACTTTTCAGCATTGTCGATTTTCCCGCACATACGGAGCGGTTTTCAGGTCTTACTCCGCCCCTACAGATACCCTTTTGAAAGCGTTACGAGAAATCATAGAGGAAAATTGGCATGGGCTTTGGCATCATGGGGCGGACATCCGCCATAGATGCCCTATGCATTAATCCGAGAGCACGTGTGTGTACGATGATGGAATCTCGCTACGACATCGAACGGAAGGGGGGAACTTATTCACGATTTTCACGATTTGACAAGAAAGAAAAGAGGAAATATGAAATCGATGCGAAATGGGGATGGGAATGGGTTTTGTATTTGACTTCTTATATGCTTTTGCACATATCTATGATTTTTTGATTCTGCGTTTGGGATCGAGAAGGGACTTGATTTTGCCCTGCATGAACATATATATTTGCACCAATATGAGCTGAGCGCCTTTGCGTCGCTTGAACTAAAAACTATAATACACGTTCGTGATCGGTCGTGATGTGTGTGATTGAAACAGAAATTCCGCCTTGGCTTGCCTGGCGCCTTCTTCTTCAGCAAAGCCGCAGCATGAAGTAAAAACCATCTGGATCCATCTTGAAGCCAAGTTCTCGCCCTCGTTCTCCTTCTTTCGTCAAAAGTCCTGTCATTATAGATTTATTTCTGCTGCTTCACACTGATCTTCACCTCCTCCCACCACCATCTCGTGCGTTATCTACCCATCAATCGTCGAAAGTGTATGATTCGACCCATTGCTATTCCCGACGGGTACTCCACCTCCACTCCCTGACATCCCACCCTCTTCCGTCAGAATTTTATGCGCATTCGCCAAATCTGCTAGTTTCTCTTCTTCGGAGACGGTGCGGTCTTCTTCTTGGATGCCGTTTCCAGGACGAGAAGCAGCAGTCAGATTGGTATTTGTATTTATGTTGGAGGTTGTGGTTGTATTGTTGCTGTTTCTTTTTGATCCCGATATCGTGGGAGCGGGAGCTGTAGCTGTTGCGGCTGAAGATGAGGATTCGGGTCTTTTAGTTGGTCCCATTGCGGTGAGGGATGGTCGTGCTGAGGATGAGGACTCGGGTCTCTTTGTGGGATTTGTTGTTGGGCCCATGGCTGTGAGGGAAGGTTGTCTGTTGAGGAGGTTATTGGATTGTTGGAGGAGGGCACTGAGGCGGGGGGAGAGTGTCGAGGTGGTAGGTGTTGAGTTTGAGGGCTTAGTCGTGTTTGTTGCAGGTTGTGAGAAGAATGAGGCTGGAGGTGGGGCGGTCGTTGTTGCAGGAGAGTCAATTGTGGAGATGCTGCGGCTTGAGGTTGTGGAGTTGTCGTCGTAGTCTGAGGACGTTGTTGTGGTAGTGAATTCTTCGCTTCCGGGGGAAGGAGCGGTGTTTGGGCGAATTGGAGCGGAATTGGCGAGGATTGCTGTGCTCGGGCGAGTGAGAAATGAACCTTGTTGTTGAGAGCGTGGACGGCCATGCAGTTCGAGGTCGTGGACGCCGGAGGCTTTGTCGACGTATTGGAGTTTGGCTTTGATGGGCTCGTCCGGTGGGTCGTGGATCTCGAGGCGGAGTTGGTTTTGGTGGTCTTGATAGAGGATATCTGGAGTGCGGGCATCGGTGCCGGAGTCGCGATAATTTCGTGTTGCGGTTGTGGCGGAGCTGCGGTAGGTCATGGGACGTTGGGATCGGGAGTTGGAGACTCTTTCGATAATGGGTTCGAAGGACGTTTTGGCAGCGAGGGCGTGCGAGTTGTGTGATGATCTCTGGATCACGGGCGGTGGAGCACCGTCTTCATCGTCGAACATGTAATCGCCATCGCCAGAGTACTTGGCCTTTTCCAGATCGGAAGGTGCTTCTCGTGGTGTATTGATAGTCGCGAAATCGTGTCTTTCGGCAGCCTGAAGAGGGGCACTGATTCTGATACTGTCTCGAGAGGACTTCTTGGAGCCGAGAGAGCTGAAACTGGATGTAGATAGTCGTGTGGCCAGACCGACAATGCCGGGGGCGCAGCAACATATTTGGCTCAGGTATACTTCAACACCGCTGTACAAGCCCAGGAAGCTGTAGCTGTAGGTTGTATTGAAGGTCGATTCAAAGTCACGGACGTGAAATATTCTGACAATGCTAATTGCCGTGACTGCAAGGCCAACCAGATAGACAAACAGAATCCTGTCAACGCGTTAGTAAGCTTCTCACAGCTGTATTGAACATCATTTGGCTCACCCGATCGTATTCCGGGGGGTTGTCTTCATCCTGATTATACTTCTGATAGGCAAAAGCAGGACGAGCACATTGAACCCAATGTCTACACCTGCTAGAGCCCAGAGTAAGATCTGTCTGTCCACGCATTGACTCAGCAGATCCGGATCCTGCAAAGAGTTCCATTGCGATGCTATGGGACGACACTGAGCGATGACCGAGACCTCGAAGCTGATCAAGGCAGCGCCCAGCAAGCCCAAGGATGTCCACCAAAGTTTCCGCAGACCTCCAGCAGTTGGCCATGTCCGGAGATAGAAGAGGACAAGCGATATCTTGGTGCTGAAGATCACAAGCACGTATAGGACGCTGGCAATGTAGAACCACTATTCCTGTCAGCTTGTCCATGTATCTCCACTCTATTCCTGCCTACCTTGGTAAAGTCCACGATATCACTGAGGCTTAATGTCCAGATCTCTTTGCCCATGCCATTCTGTAACGTGAAATATCCTGCCACGAAGAAGCCGATCAATGGTGCATAGCTCGCGACTGCCATAAAGTCATCCCATCCAAAGCCTGCTCCAGCAAGTCGTGCCACCAGCCTCGCAATGGTGAAAATGGTAGTGACTGCGAACAAGACATAGGCGACAATGGATAACAGCTGAGTTCTATCGCGTGTCGGAGTAGCGCATCGGTATGCTCGAAATCTGGAGGAGGCTAATTGGTCCGAGAATGGGCAATCGTTGACTTTCAGACACTCCATCATGGCGTTCTGTACCTCCATATTCTCGCAGAAACATGGCTGCGAAGGTTGGCAATTGTAGGCATTGAAGACTGTGCTTGTGCATTGCAGCTGTTAAATCTCTGGTCAGCGCGTCACGCGTTCCTTGATGCCGCAGGTTCAACACGTACCACACACGTCGACAACCCGCTCACAGCAGTATCGTCTACCAGTGTCTGCCCAGTGACCTGCACGCGTGTGAGAGCCACAGCCCACATGAGCAAGACAGAGAAGCCATCTCGAAACCTCATCTCGAGGTCCAAGAGTCCATAGACTCAAATCCGGAAGAAGGACGCGGAGATTGAAGTGAGAGAGTAGCAATCAAACCTCACATAAGCAGATGCACAACACAGCAAGCCATGATCTACTACTAGTATGTAGTGTGGACGCCTCAAGCAAAGACCTACCTTTCACATCAATGATGTCTTTTTGTGGCCCCTCCGCAGCATGAGCACACCGATTACATGTCTGCTTCTTCGATCTGGCAGCAGTTGCAGTGCGCCGACGACTCATGTCGAGCGTTAGGTATGAATGCGTGGCGTCACGGAAGGACGCCGATCACATGGTTGGCTGGGTGGTTGTTCTTGACACGAGAAGTGATTGAAGCTGATCATTTCGGGCTGCATCCTTCAAAGTGAGAGGCATTGAGTTAGTCTGCAGTCGAAGAGCTTGTGTTCTTCACTTCTGTATCCGAAGAGTGAGGTCTTCTCAAGCCGACGCATAGTTCTTGCAATTGAGACTGGGATCCCCAGGCTGTGGATGGTGTTCCTGACGACTCGCAGCGTGCATATCCGACACTCGCGCAGGCCGTGCCGACAAAGGCAAAGGCTTGTTGACGAAGAAATGCACTTCCTGACTCGACGTGGCAGTCGATGATCGTGCGTGGTAGGTCAGGAACGACGTCCAAAGATCAAACTAGGCAGTTTCCAGCTAGCAACACGTCCAAATCCACGACGTCCGCAGAATCTCCGCCATCGCAATTTCGCTAACTATTGGATTCGACACTGCCAAAACATCGAATCCACGCTCTTCTCCGCCGTGTTCCTCGACATCCTCTCTGAGAGCTCCGCTCCGTCCTGCACACGTCGACTCGCTCTCTCCCATTCGCCCATCCGTTTGCACTTGCGCAGACTCCTCCCAGCATCACCCCGAATCTTCACAGCAGCACTCTGCAGACGACATGGGAACACTTTCTCGTCGCCGCGGCCGCGCTCGGTCATAACCACTCTATTTGACAACTCCCGTCCCCATACGCTGGCAGCCGAGTGCGCCACAAAACATGGTGCTGCTGCTCCATTCGGGTCTGCCGGTGGTAGTGCGACCGTCTAGGCCTGCCTGCGGGACTTGCCCTCTTTCTGTGTCTGGGCAGGCCCGCTCTTCTGCGCTCTCAGCTCTCAGCTCGTGCTTGTGCGGCGCGGCCGTTGAGGTATTGCGACTATTGCTGCAGCTCGACGGAGATCTTCTGTAGGTTTCTTGCTGATCACGCATGACTTCCTTACTGTTTCTATTCTCTCACTTCTGTACACTGGAGCACCGATGATAGCCTTCACATGATGTGAAGTAGGAGCATACCACGAGCCATCGGCGTAAAGGAACGAGTGACGCAGCACGAATAGCGGAAAGCCGAAGACGTCCGGAGGAGAGAACAGAGAGGAGGACGCGATGGCAGCGACAACGTACACCTTTTCGCCCGTCACAGACACGGACCGCGCAGGCGTGGTATGGGTCGCTGCGATCCTGTCGTTGATGTTCACCGTCATCACTTTGGCTACGCGATTCCAGATCAAGGCGCATGCCCTCGGGAAAGATGACTACCTCATCGGACTATCAACACTCGTGGCTGTCGCGCAATACATCGCAATCTTCGTCGGGTTGAATCGAGGCGTGGGACGGAGCAGCACGTTGCTGACGGAAAGCTATGCGCAAACGCTGGGTCGCTCCGTTCTGGCGAGTGAGATTCTGTTCATTGTGTCCATGACGCTGAGCAAGTTGGGCGTGGTGGTGTTCTTGAAGAGGCTGTTATCGCGGGATCACAGTGCTGCGTGGATGGCCTGTCAGGTGGCTGTCGCTTTGACAGTGGCATGGGGAGTGGGAAGCGCGTTGGGGATCAGTGTTGAATGTGGTCCGAACCGCATTCTCTACGGTCCAACGCGATGCGTGCACAAGGTGAGACACTCGCGACGCAAGGCGCTCCCATTGACATATGCTGATGCAACGATAGCTCCTCCGCTGGGAACTCGTCATCAGCTTCGACGCCGTCCTCGAATGCATCTACGTCGGCCTGGCCATCTGCCTCGTCTGGCCCCTCCAAATGAAGCGCAGAATCAAAACCACCGTTGTCTTCGCCTTTGGCTTCCGCCTCATATGCGCCGTCTTCGCTGCCCTCCACGGAGTCTGGATAGACAAATACGTCGACTCCGACGACCCCGGTCTCGCAATCGCAGACGTCCTCGTCTGGCAACAAGTCTGTCTAGGCTACAGCTTAATTGCAACCACAATCCCCACAATCAAAACCTTCGTGCGAGGATACAATAAAGAGCTCGGATACGATCCATCTTCAGAAAAGAGAGGTCTTGGTGGAGGATACAATTTAGGCAGCCTCGTACGCTCTATCAATCGCACAGGACCCGAAAGTGGTTCGGGAGGCTCGTCGAGACAACAGAGGAGTAACGCTTCGCGAAGCGGACAGAGGAGTTTCGCTTCACGGAGTCGACAGGATCAGGAAAATGGGAATTATCAAATGGGGCCTAAGAGTGGGGATTATCGGGTCGGGGCTTTTCATGATACGAGTAAAGGGAAGAATGCGAAGAGGCCGCCGAGTGGGATATTTGAGAGTGATGAGGATCCGATTATTAGGAGGGATGTGAGTGTTACGGTGGAGACGGAGAGGGCTTCGAGGACGAATTCGGATTTGGGGGTGTAGATGCCAGATATTTGTGTCCTGTGTTGTGTGTTGATTGGATAAAGAGCGTGGCGTTGGGAGGCGTATGTATAAGCCGCTTGGGGTATACCATCTGTCTTTGAGTAATTGAGTTGCAGTGCAGATAGTTCTACAGGAGATGAGTGATGTGTTAGCAGATGAAGAATTGACCAGTTCGATCGATCCTTCGACCCAATCCAGCCTCCAGACTATCCATCAACTCCTCTTCGTCTACACCACATACCCTCACTTCTTTCTTCATCTCCCCATCGACCTACCACTCAAACTCCCACCCCTCCCCCAATGGTCTATCCTCCTCATACCCTTCAGGAATACCATCTTCCTGCCACTCCATAATTTCAAACATCCAATCTAATCTCCTTAATAACACTTCCAGAGTCCCAAATGCATCTTTCCCTTTTTTCTGCTCTTCATCCAAAACCTCTTGAACCTCCCCTCGAAATTCCGGTCTTACTCCAAACCACGTCTCATCACCGTAGGTTGTATACTGCTTGACTTCCAGAACTTGCCGATTTTTGAGATTAAGTGAAATCATATATCGATTCGGCCAGTCGAGGCCGTAGCCGCAGAGGGAGAGGGATTGGATTTGATTTATGAGGGAGGGAGGCGTTTGGAAGAGCCAGTGGGAGAAGGCTCTGTAGGGTTGAGTTTGTGGTGGGGTGGAGGATGATGAGGAAGATGTTGTTGGTTGAGTGCTTGGTGGGCTGTCTAGTGAAGGAGGCCAAGGAGAGGAAGGGTCGAAGGCAGGAGGATACAGTGAGCCTTGAGCTTTATAGTATGGACTGTTGATATCCAAGAATAATGGATCTGTTTCTTTCCTTGGGGAGAATTCATTGTGGATGAGCCAGAATTCGTTTTCGGCGTAGAAGATTGGGAGGGATTCTTTGCGGATGAGGCGGGAGACTCGTGTAATGGGTGGTTGTACTGGTCGGTAATCCTTGCTGTCGTCACGCATTGGTAAAGGATGTTTTAAACGTCGGGAGCAGAGCAGGTCTCGTGGACTTGCTGCTTTGAGGGTTGAGCGCTGTTTACGATATTTCTTTTTGGTTTGCTCTTGACAGCGGCCGATGAGGAAAGGGTGGTCTTCGATTACTAGGTGGTGGTAGATTTGGAGGCGGAGTTCTGCGGAGAGGAAGAGGAATGGGGAGGGTGATGGATCACGTGTCTCCTCGGTGTGGGCTTCTGATGCCATGAAAGGGAGAAGTCTTGTCGACTTACGCGATCATAGAGGATGTAATGGGTCTACTGAGTCCATTCCTCGGAGCTCGTGCAAGAACTGAAGTTGTGACGTTGGCGGGGTGCTTGGAAGCAATAGACTCGAAGTATGCAAATGTGAAATGTGCTTCGAAGGATTCAGGCACCACTCGAAAGCCGCTGGCGTCCTGCGTTTTTCGCCAACATTGTTTTCTCACCTGGGCGGCCTCCAGTTTTCTTTTGAGTGGAAGCGGCTGTGCTTTTCGCAAACCAACAAACGCTAAGCAATTTCAGTATCGCTTGCGCAAGAGTCCAGCTTGCCATGATATGCAGCAACCTTGCTCTGTCGTCAATCTTGGTACGAAAGCGTCGCGGAAGTCATTTGCAGGAATCGGTTCGTGCAACACGAGGTTCAAAAACAGTCACTCGAGTACCATGAAGCCGGTCCAGAGGCCGTCCGAAATTTCGTTGTGGCGCTGCTCATCATGAGGGCGCTGTTGGAACAGAAGAGAACGCTCGAGGTGAGTCCGACTGTTGAGCCGTAGCTTCTGTCTTTTGTTTAGAAAGTGAAGACATGTTGCAGTCTGAGACCGAAACAATGCACCAGATCTCGAGTTCGCTTGCTGTTCGATTGCGTTACGATTCTTCAAGGCCATAAGAAAGCCGTAGCCAGCATAGGATATCTGTTCCCATCACTGCAACAGTGCCCCAGAAGAACGATCGAAAACATCATGCCGCCGCGCCATCGCCACCACGGACAGCAGCGTGCAATATCCGTCGATGAGTGGTGTCGTCAGTATTATGGCACAGACGTGAGGCGCATCACTCCTTATTCAGACTTCCTCCTTGTTGCTGACTTGAAATCCCAGATTCCGACTCTCAATGCTGAGCTTGTACGACTTCGCCGTAGCGTACTCAATGGGGAGGACGAGCTTTCCAGGCAGAGAGGAGAGACCCGAAGAGTGAGGCAAGAGAGAGACCAGTTAAGGACGGAAAATTTGGTGCTCAGGCAGGAAAATGAGCAGATGAGAAGGGAGAAAGCGAGGCTGAGTGAGAAATATGAGAGTCAGAAGAGGAGAGCGAGGGCGTTTGGATTGAGAGTGTGATGCAGGAAGGAGAGGGAAACGGAATGGAAGGTGCCACACTCGCCCGCGAAATGGGTTCTGATGATTCTACTTTGCACTTGTGGCAACCGCAAGAGGTGAAGAAGGAGTGTTGCCAGTGGAGGGCCGTACTTGAATCGAGCATAGGAGATCCCCGGCTCTGGTTTTGCTTCGCCTGGGCCGCAATTTGAGATACATACTTGTTCCGGCCAGACATACATAGAACCACTAGACCGGTCTGCTTCTCAAGACTCCAGTAATGCTCTGAAATCCGGCCTATCTCGAATGAGTTCAGTGTGCTAGTGCTACTTGCGTTGAGGATCGGGACAATACGTTGCAGAACAGCAGCCAGAAGCATTGCACACTCACAGAAGGATCCTACACGATCAGCTGAATGTATCGGCCAGAGCGACACGTATTCTGGCGCGTCGTAGAGTTCTCTGGAACCTCTCACGATTCCCTGCTGTGATGTCTGGAACCAAAAAGTGATGGCGTACCCACTTTGGCCCGAGCGATGGGGTGACGCGGGAATTGGTGACGTCGTTGCCAGGTGGCCATCACTTCCACTGCAGTCATGAATGCCATACAGCTGCTTCAGCAAGTGTCGACTTGGAAGAGCAGCATTGTTCGGCGTTCTGTCGGCGGTGATAGATTTGTATGGGTCTCCATGGCGATGTGCTGTCTGACTTTTTCTTGAAATGCCTCAGGTTGTGCCCCGCGAACTAATTAGGTTTAGCGCGATGATCTCATAACCGGTCCTGAGAACATTCCATAGATTCTGGAGAAGAAGTGAAGACGCGGCAGAAGCGATGCCTCTGGCTGCCTGTGATCAATTCGATGGAGCTCTAATCAATTCAGTCAGACTGCTCGACCGGTCGCGTGGCGTCTCGTCAATTTTGGCGGTGTCTGGAGGGTGCTAGAGGCGACTGGTGGCTAGGAGAAGCAGGTGGAAGCTCGTCGAACATTCTCAAAAATTTGGCCCACCCGCAGCAGCTGCAGCAGGTACAAGAATCATCTTCGCCGCAGTCAACCTTTCACCCACACAACATCACACAAATTCGACTCTCACCTCTTCCACGAGTCTTTCTGCGCACTTCACACACTTTCTTCTAACTCCCATCACCAACCCGAACACCCACATTCGCATTCGACACACGCAGACACAATGGCACCAGCCATCGGTATCGATTTGGGTACCACGTACTCGTGCGTCGGTATCTTCAGAGATGACCGCATCGAAATCATCGCCAACGACCAGGGTAACCGCACAACACCCTCGTTCGTCGCCTTCACAGACACCGAGCGTCTCATCGGTGACTCCGCAAAGAACCAAGTCGCCATGAACCCAGTCAACACAGTCTTCGACGCCAAGCGATTAATCGGCCGCAAGTTCAACGACCCAGAGGTGCAGGCAGACATGAAGCACTTCCCCTTCAAGGTCATCGACAAGGCCGGCAAGCCTGTCATCCAGGTCGAGTTCAAGGGCGAAGAGAAGACATTCTCCCCAGAAGAGATCTCATCCATGGTCCTCACCAAGATGCGTGAGACCGCAGAGTCATACCTCGGTGGCACCGTCAACAACGCTGTCGTCACTGTCCCAGCATACTTCAACGACTCGCAGAGACAAGCAACCAAGGATGCTGGTCTCATTGCTGGCTTGAACGTGCTCCGTATCATCAACGAGCCAACTGCTGCCGCCATCGCCTACGGTCTCGACAAGAAGACTGAGGGCGAGCGCAACGTTCTCATCTTCGACTTGGGTGGTGGTACCTTCGATGTCTCTCTTCTCACCATTGAGGAGGGTATCTTTGAGGTCAAGTCCACTGCCGGTGACACACACTTGGGTGGTGAGGACTTTGACAACCGTCTAGTTAACCATTTTGTCAATGAGTTCAAACGCAAGCATAAGGTAAGTCAAAGCAATCTCTGCCATCGTTATTATCCCGAGGACGTTCCCTAACAATTTTACAGAAGGATCTTACCGCCAACGCTCGTGCCCTCCGCCGTCTACGAACTGCTTGCGAGCGTGCCAAGCGCACCCTCTCTTCCTCCGCTCAGACCTCCATCGAGATCGACTCCCTCTACGAGGGTATCGACTTCTACACCTCCATCACTCGTGCTCGTTTCGAGGAGCTGTGCCAAGACCTGTTCCGTTCCACCATGGAGCCAGTCGAGCGTACGCTCAGAGATGCAAAGATCGACAAGTCTTCCGTCCACGAGATTGTCCTTGTCGGTGGTTCCACCCGTATCCCCAAGATCCAGAAGATGGTCTCCGACTTCTTCAACGGCAAGGAGCCAAACCGCTCCATCAACCCAGACGAGGCTGTCGCCTACGGTGCCGCCGTTCAGGCTGCCATTCTCTCCGGTGACACCTCCAGCAAGTCGACCAACGAGATCCTCTTGCTCGATGTCGCTCCGCTGTCTCTCGGTATCGAGACTGCCGGTGGTGTCATGACTCCTCTGATCAAGCGCAACACCACCATCCCAACCAAGAAGTCCGAGGTCTTCTCTACCTTCTCCGACAACCAGCCTGGTGTGTTGATCCAGGTCTTCGAGGGTGAGCGTGCCCGCACCAAGGACAACAACTTGCTCGGCAAGTTCGAGCTTACCGGCATTCCACCTGCTCCACGTGGTGTCCCACAAATCGAGGTCACCTTCGACGTTGATGCCAACGGTATCATGAACGTCTCCGCCCTCGAAAAGGGTACTGGCAAGACCAACAAGATTGTCATTACCAACGACAAGGGTCGTCTGTCCAAGGAGGAAATCGAGCGCATGTTGGCCGAGGCTGAGAAGTACAAGGAGGAAGATGAGGCTGAGGCGGCTCGCATCCAGGCCAAGAACGCTCTTGAGTCTTACGCTTACTCGCTCCGCACCACCCTCAGCGATCCAAAGACCGAGGAGAAGCTCGAGGCTTCCGACAAGGAGACTCTCAAGGCCAAGATCGACGAGACTGTCTCTTGGCTCGACGACAACCAGACCGCCACCAAGGACGAATACGAGAGCTCGCAGAAGGACCTTGAGTCTGTCGCCAACCCAATCATGATGAAGCTCTACGGCGCTGGTGGCGAGGGTGGCATGCCAGGCGGTATGCCAGGTGGTGCCGGCTTTCCAGGTGCTGGCGGCCCAGGCGGCGCTGGCGGTGCCGGCGGCGATGACGGCCCAACCGTCGAGGAGGTCGACTAAATGCATCATCACCACACACGCAACATGGCTTGACTGTTGTTGTTGAGAGCATTTCCTCTTCTGATTCGATATGATACCACTTGAAACTTGCATGGCATGGCGTTCATACAGGGTTTTTAGAGCATGATGACATGGGACTCATGACTTGGGATGACATGGAAAAAAGCTGCGCCCTCTTCATTGGGGTGCTTTTCCTTGACTGTAATGTAGCTGCTGCAGTGAATGATTGATAGAGAAGAGATCATTGAGCTGAAGCTAGCAATGAAAAAGAAGTTCAACAGAAGTATCTTGTTCCGTTTCATTTTCCTTTCCTTTCGCGATTGACCTGAACGATCTCCATCATTGTGACTTTCAGTATGCTTTTGTGACCGCCTTGCTTCACCTGAACAGCACAACTGTGAGCCATCGTCTTTGCTGCTGCGCAGTACTCAGCTGGGAATAATTTGCGGAGTCACTGCTATCATCGAACTTGCCTCTTCTCAATTCATCACGTTCGTCACGGTATGCATCTGCACCTCAACCGCTCCATTTCCCATCACCTTCTCATTTGTCTGTTTCTCACTGCTATGAGCAACGCCGTTTCGCTTTTGAGAGCAGAACTGTGAGCCACCACCCTCTCCGCTTCACATTTTCGATCTTGGAACAACCCGCGGAGATACTGGAATTATCTTATTCTCTTGTCACTGTATCACTTTCGCCAGTGTGTACGGAGTGCAGAACGAGATGACTTCGTCCCATTCCATCTTCGATTCCGCATCTTATACTTTGATTAATGACTCGTTACATGGCTGTGTCTCTCTACGAATGCGCTTGTCTCGTATTGACAGCATGACTGTAAGCCAACGCCCTCGCTGATGAGGATTTTCCAACTTGGTGGTTTCGCAGAGTTGTCATCATTATTGTACTTGCTTCCAATTTCATCAGCTTCGTCAGCGTGCTTTCGCAACTCAACTCACGGCTCACAATACCTGTACGTGTTTTTCGGCCAGCTTGATTCGCGCGAACAGCGCAACTTCAGGCCGCTACTCTTGTCAATAGACAATTTCCAGCTTGGAATTATTGTTGCACAGGGCTACAATATCTTTTCCTCTTTCTTTCTAGCTCTCCTGATACTCCTGCACCCCCTCCAAACTCCTCCCATTATCCCAAAACATCACCAAACCGCCCTCAATCCCCTCCCTCACGAGCGGATTCTTCTCTCCTCCCGCATCCGATACTCCACCCGCCACGGCATCAAACCCACACTTTCGATAGAACTTCTCCGTCCCTTCCGCTCCCACGACCGAACATCCCACTCCCTCGGCTTTCGCCCTCTCGAACCCCCAAGCTGCAAGCTGTTGTCCGTGTCCTTGACCGCTCGCAGAAGGGTCTACGCCTAAGAGTGTAAGATCATAGACTTCAGCGCGAGAGCCGGTCCAGAAATGCGCGCTGAAAGGCGGGAATTCGGACATGATGTTTGCTCGTGAGGGTTCCTGGGCGCGGTTGGGATAGAGGAAAGATTCGAGGTAGTTGTATGTTGACATGGCAGATTTTGATAAAGTCTGATACAGAGTATCTTGAGGCTGGTGTTCTCGCATGCGGGTCCAATGGGCTATGCCGGTTATGGTTTCTCGGGAAGGTGAATTTGAAGGTTGTCCTGATGAGGCGGTTGAGTAGGATACGAGAAGATACTGGTCGAGATCTTGACTGGCCCAGGCATTACGGAGTTTGTGGAGGAAATGGAGATACATGTCTTCTGGGTGTTGATCTCGGTAAGGATGTATGTATTGGCCGAATAGTGGCTCGTCTTTGAATGCTCGGGCGAGGCATTTGGAAGCTGGAAGGAGGTCGGAGTAGGTCGCTGCTCGGATGGGCATTTTGGCGACTAGACTGTTGTTCTTGTTACGATCTGACGACTGATGGAGTCTGCGTGTGTACACAGGAGTCAATAATATTCGTGAATCAGATCGAGAGGCACACTACTGCCGGAAAGCAAGACAGAAACCAGGATTGAGACCCCGACAGCCCTCTGCTCAATCCTTGTACATCCGCCTTGCGAAGTGCACTCAAGCGCTCTGTGTCGACAAGCGAGGCAGCTGCGGACTCCAGTTCGCGCCAGAGATCGCAATGCGAGCGTATTTGAGTGCCTTTCGATCCTCGTATCTCCGCCTTGTGCAGCGTAGCTAAGGCGCTCTGTCTCGACAACAGCGACGCAGGTGCGGAATCAAGTTCGAGAGAGAGATCGCAAAGTGAGCAAGTTTTCGTTTTGCAGTTCGCAACTAGGCACAGCACGGAATTTCCGAAGCATGGAAGCAATGGGCGGAGGTCTCGGGAATCGCCAAGCTTGGTAACAGGATCTTGTTATTACTACGATGGAATTGTGTGGCCGCCTGAATGAGACCCTACAATCGTCTGGCGGGGAATATGTTGGAAGGTTGTGCGACTGGGTCTTCTGTATGCTAGAGGTGAGGTTCGGTGATGGTGCCAAGACTTACGCCCGGTATCGCGTGAAGCTGTCGCGAACACGTGAAAGTCCATCTACTTTGGACATTGTTTAGCTACATTTCGTCCTCCACATCTCACAATGGGCTGGCTATGGTCTTCGAACAGCGGCGACTCTGCCAAAAAGCCCTCATCGACTGAAGCACAACCTTCAAATACGAATCAGAATGAAAGCTCGATAGCCCTCACTGAAGAACAACGCCTACGTATCTTCGGCCGCCCATCACCCGCACCCTCTTCCTCTTCTACATCGCAGCAGACACGAGAGCAAGCTGCCGACGCCGAGCTCGACGCCCTCATCAGAGAATTCTCCTCCTCCGACCCAACAAACCCTACCAAAGCCCTCTCAGCCCTCACAAAAGCCGAGCAACAAGACCAGCAACACACAGAACGCACCGCCCTCCCAGCACAAAACCACCACGAACCCCCACCAACCTCACGTCTCCTCCCCGATGGTAGCCTCGACATCTCCCCCTCAGCAATCCTCCCTCGCACAATGTCCTGCCGCCAACAATTCGACCAAGCATTCTACTGCCAATCCCTAGGCGGGAAGTTCAACGACATATATCGCTATGGACATCTGAGAGCTTGTTCGGAGCAATGGGGGGCGTTTTGGTTTTGTATGCGGACGAGGACGTTGCCGGATAAGGAGAAGGAAGAGGCGATTGTGCAGTTCTATCAGGAGAGGGATGAGAAGAGGAAGAAGGAGCGTGGTGGGAGTAGTGAGGATGTTTGGCAGTTGAGGACAAAGGCTGTGGAGAGAGCGTTTTGGAGGGATCCGGATGAGGATGTGGAGGGGAGTCAGGACGGGATGGTGAAGAGTGGGAGGGATTGAGATGGGTGTCAGTAGGAATGGTTCGAAATTGAAGAGCAATGGGACATACGATGGAGAGAAGGTGCAGGATTCATACAAGCTACGTGCAAGTCGTGTCTCTTGCAGCTCTTTCGCGGCGCTACTTTGCATCCTCGCTGGGCTGATCTCCAGTCCCGGGTCAGCTACTATACACATCTGGTCTGCCACTGGACTCCCGCGTTGAGCTCCTAGTCGATCTCAATGATCTCCTGCTTGACCTTGGACTGCCGCTTCGCTGCCGCCTTCTGCTTCAGCTTACGCTTGAGCTCCGCTTGTCTTCTCTCTAGCTGGATTTCTTCCCGGCGAAGCTCAATATCGCGCAACTCGGCTTCGAACTCATCTTCACTGTCCTCCTGGACAAAACGGGTCTGCTGATACTTCGATTCGACCTGCTCAGAGTGCTCCTTCTTGAAGGTTCTGATCTCGCTTGCCGTGTCCACAGTCAAGTCAATCGCGGTGTGAGACTGATCGCGCGGCCTCGAGCGGTTCGGGAATATTCGTGACCGTGACGGAATGCTACGTCTGCGTCTTGGCTTGAAGGAGGATCCGGATTCGTCAGGAAAAGGAGTGCCAAAGCCCGAATCATCATCCTGAGGATTTCCTGCGCCATCGTCGCGTACAGGCGTCATGTCTTTTCCGAATGGAGGGCTACTGAAATCCAAAAAACCCGGCGATGGCGAGTCCCATATGCTTCGCTCAATAAATTTTTGCATAGCGGAAGGAGGACGCTGAACAGGAGTTGCAGAAAAGCCGGAAAAACTTCTCCCGATCCTCCCAGATCCCTTTGCGTTGCCCTGGCTGTTGGTCTTAGCTGCACTGTTGCCATCATAGAGGTGCAATGTGAAATTGAGCGGGGTCCAAATTCTGTCAGCCTTGTTCTTCTCGGTACTCGTAGGCTCCGCGCCAGGAGGAATGCCCGTAGACGGAACTTCTGCGGTCGGGACTATGTCCTGCATCGTTCCAGTGTCGACTTGGTCAACCTCGTGCTCTTTATCGAGAGCAGCATGAACAGGTTCGTTCGAGGGTGAGGCTCCAGGCAATTCGACCGCATTCGTGTTCGGGGCGCCTTGCGTCTCACGGGTCTCGTTGATGTTCGCGATCTCCTGGCCGTTCTCATACTGCTGAAAAAGTGGTTGCTGAGCCGCGGGCCTTGTGGGCTCCAGGTGCTGTTCTGCGCCGGTGACTTGCTGCATTGTCTCTTTGTCGGCCTCATCAATCGGAGTCTCTGATTCCGCTGGCTTTGCCTCGATGCCCACGATCTCTTCATCATCTTTGTCCGGTCGGATGATCGGCTGCTGAGGTGCGGCAACTTCAGGCGCCTGACTTGGTCCTGCGCCGGCGGCTCGTTGCACGGTCTCGTCGTCAGCTTCTTCCCCATCTGCCCAAGCCTGGAAGGAATCGCGGGCGTCAATTGGCGCAAGCATCCAGCGTCCAGTGTCCTGCACAAAGAACCACTTCTTGCCCTTTGGTGCCTTCTTGTACTTTCGGCACTTTTTGCATTCTCTTGGAGCCGTGAGTGCTTCTTTTTCGCCGGGAGCGGGCATGTCTGACTCGTCTGGGGCAATTGAGGACCCGGCAGCCTGCTCAGCAGGCCGATTAGATGCACACGGTGCCTTTGGCTTCTTAGCTCGGGGCATGCTTTGCTCCTCGCTGCCATCCTGCGTAGCACCATCGCGAAGTTTCCTCTTTTTGCAAGTCTCGCCGCCATGCTCCTCAGGACAGTTGCAGACTTTTGGTTTCTTTCGTTCTCGGCGTGGTCTGGCTGCAGCCTGTTTGTCGCGTTCGCCTTTCCTCAGGTACTCTTCCTGGAGCTGGAGTCGATAGTCCTCGCCTTGTTTGCCCTTCAACTGGAAGTCTTCATCTCGGATCAAGGTATATCTGAGTGGATCGTTTCCTTCCTCCTGGCTCATAGGTCCTTGACCAGCTGAAACGCGATTGCGCTTTTCTATCTCCAGCATTCGTTCTGTTGAAATGTCAGTCCCGATCGAGAGTTTCTGCTGCGCTGAAGTACCTAATGATCTCACTCGGAACTCCCATCGCACTTTGCGACCATTCTTGCCGTAGACGTGCAGGAAAGAATCTTCATCCCGCGGCCGCTCTTTCAGTGGTCCGTTCGGCCCAATCTTACTGCACATCGTCAATTCCGACAGTCCACGTGGGAGAAACGACTTGCGAACCTTTGCTCTCTTCGCGAGACCCCTTCCTCATCAAGCCAATCGTGGCCACCTCTCTGCACTGCCACTGTCAATGTGCCCGGGTTGACGTAATTCTCGTATGGCCTCTTTTCGATTCGATAGTATGGGGACTCGTCACCTACATTGTATTAGTATCAACATTCGGCTGGCGCGGAAGAATTGTACTCGCGATGGACATCTGCACTTTCGATATATTCTGGAACCTCATAGCCTTTCCCATTAGGACCTTCAAGCACAATTTGCTGGCCGACCGCAAACGACTTTTGTATGGTGTGGTACTCGAATTCGAAGTCTCGTTCGCGTTGTTCTTCCCGCTCCCTTCTTGCCGAACGGCGAACGGACTTCCTGCAGTACCTCACAATGGGTCCAGGGGGTCCATACGTTGCTTCGTATCCAATTCCGACTCCAATCAAGATCGCAGAACTTGAATACATCTCGAAACCTTCGTTGAAGCGGACGACGATCTTGAATCGCTGGTTTTCATGACGACGGATGAAGCAGCAGTTGTGTCGAGCATGATATTCATCTTCAGTCTCCTTGGTGCCGAGCATCTTCTTGAACCACTCCAGCTTCTGCTTGTGATGAAGTTCAGGATACTTCAGCGAGTCTCCGTCGCCGTCGGCAGGTATGAGGTAAACCTCAATACCGCTTTCGTGCTTCATGTTTGCCTTGTGCTCCGCGGGGTAGGTTGTGCTTGATCAGTGTCGATGTTGTTGAGGGATGGAAGATGTTGTGGAATCAGGCTGTCTGAAAGAAAGCCAGCGGAAGAAGCCAGGTTGTGGATACCAGTAGTTTGCATGTGCACGCACGTGAGAATGACTGTGTTGCAAGTGATTGATGCTGAGCTCCTCACTTCAGTTGAGCTGAACGAGAAGATCGCGAGAGCTCCGATGAATATCGTAAGAGAAGCGCCAGTATGGGTGAGCTCCTGACAAGTGAGCAGTTCTACGCTACTTCTCTCATAGGAAATATTACTTGGAACATAGCAGACATGTTTCATTGACGCTGCCAGGGGAAGAGAGTGGGTCGTGGAATACTAGTTGGCATCCAGCAGTGTCTTGTGACAAAGAAAATGAGACATGCGAGTTGCTCTCTGAGAGACTGATATTGCTCTGAGCCGTGAGATCTGGATAACAACCAGCACTTAGCCCTAATTTGAATAGGAGACAAACGACTTGAGGTACATCGTCTGAGAATCTAGTGGTCGTTAAGCTCAGCCTGAATGCTTACGCGCGAACAGAAACTGGAGTAAGGCAGTAACTGAAGTGAAATAAAGTGGGAATTCTCCTACTCACTCGTGGCTCTGAATCCACGAGATATCTCGATGCCTTTCTGCATAACCACGGGCGAAGAGAATACCGCATTGCAGCTCTGAGTCTGAGTTATAGGGAGCCCACACCTCTCGGTGTAGACCGCTTGCAACCTGTGCTAGAAGATTTGTTTGCACGCGTTTCCAGACGTCTGCTCCATTGCTTGCCATCGAAGCTCCCTAAGGAAGGTGTTGTCAGGATTGACGAAAGGCCGCGACGCTCGACATGTGCTGTCTCTCACATCCTCCCCATCCTCCTCAACCAAATTCCCAGATCAGATACGTTTCAATTCGTGAGATTCCATATGACTTGACATTCTCATAAAGGAACAGAAACAAAGAATATGGTCTGATCGTCGTCGCCGCCCGCCGCCGCCTGTCCGCCCTGTCCACCGCTCAACCAAGCCTCCACGCATTATTCAGACAGGCTGAATAGACGGATTCCCTCCCGGATACTCGCGTATGCCGATGCACCCAAATGCAATAAGCATCTTCAACCTCTCGAAGTCGCCCACGAGCCGCTCCGTCACGGGCTGAGGCAGCTTCTTGCCAAACACCGAGCATGCAAGCAAAGTGTAGTAATCCTTGATGTCCTCAGCTTGAGGATGTAGCAGGACTTCCGACCACGCTGCAGTGTCGACGCAGAGCATGTTCAGCTCGATTCTGCTTCCATTGTCTCCGATTTCCTCCTGTCTGAATACGAAGTTGCAATGTGCTCGGATAGCGAGGTAGTTGTGGAAGGGGCGATGAAATATGAGGTCGACTTTGACCTCAATGCGGCAGATTTTGGCCGCTTCGATGACTGCTTCAAGAGCTTTGACCCAGCCTTTAAGATGAGGTCCGGCTCGTTGGTAGTATCCATGCGGCATGCCATCTGTTTTCTCGTACACACTCATGCTCCGCCAGTCCTCTGCGTCGTAGAAGACGTGAAGGCGAAGATGCAACTTGGTGCACAGGTTCTTCTCATGCCTTAGCCACTGGATCAGGACGTCTCCAAAAGCGTGCAAGTAGCTTGGTTCTCGGAACTCGAACAATACTTTGTTCGCAATGGCCGCAATGAATCGATTGAAGAGGATCTGCTCCTTCTTGATTGTGCCCTCGCTTTTGCAATCGGCAAAGTCGAGGTTGTGAACCTTCTCGACGAATGCAGGAGCATAAGTGCCGATGGGAGACGCGTTACTCACAGCCAGATGCTGCTCTGCTGAGAACGTGCCAGACAATTCGGACAGGCTGATTTGGCGAATGGTATCCGGCAACTGCGTCTTCGAGCTTCTACCCCTGATGACGTCGAAGAACGTCTGCTTTCGCAGTTCCGCCGACAGGTCGCTTGCAAAGTCGTCGAGAAGTAGTAATGGCGGAGCCAAGTCGCTCCTCTTAGGCTGAGGCTTTGGCTCTTCGGGATGTCGTCCGTCAGGACGCGACTTCCCATGCGGTTCGTCTTTGTCTTTGTTTTTGCTTGCGTTGCCGCCGCTTTGCTCTGGTGGCATGTTGGTGTGCCGCTCGAGGCGTTACTGAATTGAGATGTTGGCGTGCGATCGAGGCGAGAAGTGTGTGCAGACGAGTACGAACGACAAATGGCGGAATATGGAGGTTCTGCGACACTCAAGTGAAACAGTGGAGCCAGCAGGCAGCAAGGGTGGCCGCGCGTGGAAGTGAACAAACCATCCATCGGTCATATTCGCTTACGACTTCACATCCGATGCGGTATCCGGACAGTCCCTCTTACGCCGCGAGTCTCCTCCGGGCTCGCCCTCGATTTTGAAAGGGCTATCTCGTTACCTTCACCACCGACAACAGCATCAGCGCTGTCCCTCGCCTATACAGTACCGAGTATCCGGAATGCCTCGTGTCCTTGACAGATACCGCGCTGAGCACTTCCGCCGCATCCTCACATCACTCTCCGGCTAAACGGCGCTGTCGACATCACCGCCTTCACTTTTCAGCCAGGCTGAATCTGTCGGAAATCCTTTCTCTCCGCCATAATCCGATATTGAAAGCCACTTGATATCAAGATTTGCTGGGTGAGAGGACTGCAGGTGTGTCGAAAAGCAGGTTCCAACCCATTGATCTCCGCCATAACTCGATATTGAACGCCGTTTGGTAACAAAATTTGCTGGATGAAGGGGCTGCAGGTGTGTCAGAGAGCAGATCCCAAGCCCTTGATCTCTGCCATGAACGAATGCTCGATGCCACTTGATGTTGAGATTGACTGGACGAGAGGACTGCATGTGTGCCAGAGCGCATGTCTTGAGCCCTTTATCTCCATTATAAGCCGATGTTGAGCGCCGCTTGGTGTCGAGATCTGCTGGACGAGAAGACTGCATGTTTGTCAGAGGGCATGTCTTGAGCCCTGTCTCTCCGCTATAAATCGATATTGAAAGCTGCTTGTTGTTGAGATTTGCTGGGCGAGAGACCTGCATGGCTGTTAGAGAGCATGCATTTAGCACTTTCTCTCCGCTATTGATCGACGCTCAATGGCACTTGATCTCGAAATACGTTGGATTCTTCCACGGCTGGTTTCTTAGAGGGGGCTTTCTGACACCATTCTCTCCGCTTCGAATTCAAGCTGAATGCCAGTCAATCTCCAGGTTCACTGGATCTAAGGACTACGCTATTTGCAGAGAGCATACCTGGAACCATTTGCTTCTCGTTCTAGTTCAGGCTGAATGCTAAACGATGTCCAGATAACTTGGCTCAGAGCACGGTCCGTCTCCCAGAGAGCGCTTCCTGCGGCCCTCCTCTCCTCTTCAATTCCAAAACAAAGCTGTCCACATCTATGGCCCTCGAAATGTGAGCCATGAGCGTGTCTAGATCGTAGAACTCGAGCACTCCTCCAAGTTGTGTATACAACTCTTCCATGGCCTTATCATCGTACTCTCGACGTGCTTCCAGCGTGTCCTTGATAGCTGCAAGTATTCCCGCGATGTCTGGGAATTGCCCAATCTGGGGCAACACAGTGCGATCGTTAGAAGTAGTCATTGTGTTGGCGTAGCGGAGGATCCTTCCAGTACTCTCGACAGCTTTCTTGACAGCAGCGAGCTCTTTTGCATCAACGGAACTCTTGGCCACTACATCAGATGGCCAATTGGCCAGGCATTCCTCCAGGAAAAACGGCAAGCCACTGCGATTGACGAGCGGAGCGAGCTCGTCCTCGAGACGCAGTACTGTCCGGGGGCGCTCTTGCGACCTCACGGCATTGCTGCCTCACAGTTACTGTCGTCTGTGGACAATATCCATACGGCAAAATGCCTGCACTGCCTGCTGGGACTGGTCTGAAAAGCCATGAGCGCCCCGCTCATCGCTTTCTCTGCACCACGGTGAATTCCACACGGCTCTCTGAGCCTCCACACTCGCTTCAAGGCCACCGCGCCGCACTGCACAAACGTGTCACTCGTTATAAGACAAATCACTCCAGGCAGACGGTCTGATCCTCCACCTGCACCCATTACAAGACCTGTCCACAGACTTGCCCGCCATGGCTCTGCCGTTGACTCTCCCTCACTTCTCTATGGATCGACTCAAGCTTCTCCTCGTCAGCACGATGTGGCTCATTCTGGACATGCCCACATACATCAACCCACTGTTAACCCACTGTTTCGTGTTGCTCTCCCATCCGAGGAGGCCTCGGCCAACTCATGGCTCTCACCGATCCTGTGTTCTGTCCCGGTCTCCTGGAAGTCCTCCAATCAGCAACACCCCCGTTAACCAGCTGGTTTGAGGATCTCCCCACCGACATACCTGAGTCATCATGGGGTATCTACTGTGTGGTGCTTCGCAAACCTGGCCCCGTACCACTACTCTACTTCGGCTCTGGCACTGGCGTCAGCAGAGAAGGTGTCAAGACGCGTCTCAGAAACTGCCTTGGCCCCCATCTTTCATCCTTGCCATCGTGGGTCAAGGCTGTACTGAATGATGGATACCTCATCGTGCACGTCGCCCTGCTGGCCCACTGCCCCATCCCAACCGTTGTACTGATCCCGGTGCTACGCTACTTCATGGTCTGTCTCGAGGCGGCTTTGCCAAGGGTCTGGTGGAGATAGGTCTTGAGCGGGCTTCTGGCACTGCGACTTAGTGAAGTAATCACCGACCTATCCAGAGTGATTCCGGCCATCCTCAAATCATTGCCGCCAAGCACACTATTCTCCAAATCATGAACTGCTTGCCAGCTCACGAGGGTAATTACGGAAAGAAATACTAGTATAACGTTGTCAGGAGCCATGGTCACATTTACGTCTCTCTCTAGATAGCGAGAAGGTTGTCTGACTCCCAATGTAGCCATGATATGGATCTTGGCATCGTGGCCTAGTAGAGCGATTACTAAGATTCTCGAAGTGATTTGGGCTCTCTTAAAGAAATCACCGTTGAGCGCACCTTTCTCTGAACGAGTAGGGGCGACCCAGCCCACAGGATTGACCTCGACCAGGAAACTGCCCTGAACCTTTCGAGGAGACATAGCTAAAGTCACGACTCTCTCTTAAAAACCGAGGGAGCTCCCTGCTTCTCAGTGTAGCTATATGCAAGAGTGATTTGGTCGTGTCTCAGCGGAGCGACACCATAGCCCCAGGTCTAAGGACTCTTGGGCCAGAGACTCCATCCAGATCAAGGAATGCAGGCATTTTTTGACTTCCGTTTCTCGCACCACCTGACCGACGAAGATGCGGAGCAGCTCATCGTCGAGCTTCAGGTAATACTAAACCAGTCAGAATGAAATCAAGTCGTCGCTGACATCGAACTAGGGTGCCAACCCAACGATGAAAGGCATGACGCCGGAGTTTTGACAGCGCCTGGGGAGGGCTGTGGAGGCCAGGTGCGAAAGCACTCAGCAGAAAGTGCTGTGGGCGGCAGTTGTGGAAAGCTCTGTCGGACTTGAAGTCCACTCCTGCCAAATGAGATTGTCCGAAAAAATCTGTGGGCGCAGCGCTTGACTTGCGTGATCGTGGGAATTACAACCCCCAGACGTGGTGGACATCTGGGAGATGCCAGGGGGGATTGAGCTTGATGAAGGTGAAAGGGTTTTGCGCAGGAAGCAAGTCCAATTTGCAGACACCGGCTGGTGTATTGAGGGTGCCGAAGTTAGTGGTCCGACCTGTCGCTGTCTTGCTGCCTGCGCCAAAGCTCTGCGAATCTCGGTACAGCTGCTGTCTCGTTGCTCTGCAAATTCTAGGCTTTCCCTGCAGCCAGACGTCCAAGCAGCATAGCGGTGCGGTCAAAGCAGAGTGGGAAGTTAGTAAGGGCTGCGTACTGGTGCGAATAGTAGTGATTTGAAAGCCTATCCTCTTCACAAAACGAATATCTACAAAGCTACAATCAACACATCGCCCTCCGTGGTATCAATTACCTCCTCAATTGGTCTACACATCCTATGCTATCGTGCCTTTACGATTGGCTTGTCAAGTGATCAACAGCCTAAGCGATAGTCAGCATACTGAGATGAGTCTCAGATAGATCGTTCTGTACTCACCCTATTAATGTCATAGTCAAACTGTTCCAACGCAGCGAGTGCTTGTCCTCGCGGATACCCCATGCCAGTAAGTCTCTTCAAGATCGGATCATCATGTTCCGTGCCAGGAGTGAGAGCACCGCCTCGATCGAGCACATTCTTTAGTGGCTGTGCAGTGAGGGAGCCGGCGGGAAACGAAGGTTTCGAGGCAGCTGCTTGTGCAGCATTCAAACTGTCACCGAAAGCGTTGCTCGACGAGTCGCCCCAAGGATCACTAGCATTGAGACTCGTGTCAATTTGCTTGCTGTTGTCCAACCCGGAAAAGATCGCATCCCAATCATCCTGTCCATTCGCTGAGCTTTGCTGTGCTGCCGAGGTGCTGCTCGCCATTGTGGAAGCGCCCAAGGCTGATTGTGAGGACGAGAAACCAGCAAATCCGCTCGAGCCAGCACTATCGGACATCACGCCACGATTGGCGGCTACAGGAGTCTGCTGCGAAGAAGCCATCGTGGTAGTCATGCTTGCTGCTCGAGAGTCAAATGTGGCGCTAAACTCGTCTTCTGGCCCATTGTGACCAAAGTCGAAGTCATTGCCAGTTTTATCGGCTTCCTTGGCTTCGGCTAGGTCGTCAAAGTCATCGAAGTCATCGAATGCGCCTTTAGGAGCTGAAGCCTGTGCGGGTGCTGCGGAGCTTGTGCCCGCACTTGGGAACGGGTTGTTGCTGTTCGATGTTGCGGGCGGTGTTCGCACGGGTGTGTGCTTGGAGGAGTCTGATTCAATCTCCGTGGCTGTCGCCACGGCTGGCGATGAGCTCTCAGCAGGAGGACTTGTTGGGTCCTCTCGCGCCGGGAGCAGCCCGGTAAACTCCGCTGGGAATTGGTTCTCGTCGACCCGCTCGCCACTGCCGCCATGTGAGACTTTGCTGCTATCTTCGTATGCGGGCGGCGATTGCTGAGCCTCGGCAGAGGGCAAAGGCGTGGTCGCAGAGAGGGCTGCCGCTGCTGTCGCTGGATCTTTTGCTAGATCAGCATTCTCGAGTGGCGCTGCTTGACCAGGCGGAGGAGATGCGGCAGTGAAGTCATCGTCGAAGCCACGGGCATCCTCGTCATCGCTGCTATCGCTTTCACTGTAATCCCGTTCCAGGGTCCGGATGGGTGGAAACTCGGATCCTCGAGCCGCTCCATTGCTCGGGACTGCGAACGGATCTTCACTTTCCGCATCCTTCGATTTTTGGCTATCGCCAAACCCAGCAAACGCCGAGTCAAAGTCGTCCTTGGCTGCTGCTGGTGTTACAGAGCGTGACGCGACAGGAGTCTCCTCTGCGACAGGGAATGCACCGGGTAAGCCCTCAGATGCAGCGGTGGAAGGCTTGGGATCTTCCGTGAAGCTACCAGGCACATTCAGTGCAGCTGCACCTGAGCCAGGCACAGCCTCACGAGGCGTCTCAGTCCCTCCCGCCCTGCTCGGTGGAGGCAGAACCTTTGTAGAATCGTTGTCAGCTGCGCTGTCCTTCTCCTCAGGAGGAACGATGGGGAGTTGAGAGGCAGAGAACTGGCGATCTTGTGGAGGTGGGGGCGGTTCAGAGACGGGTGGAGTTTCGTGCGTTGGTTCGGAGGGTGGTGGCGTTGCTGCTGGAGTGTGCTGACCGATTGAAGATACGCTTTGTACGGAGTCGGACATACCTGCAGCCACGGCAGCGCCAGCGACAGCACCGCCAGCCGCGGCTCCTGCAGTAGGGAGCGATCGGCCAACGAAGCTCGTTGCGGGTGGAGTGCCTGTTCTGCTGCCAGCCTGGCCTTGAGGTGCGAAAGCGCCCGGAGGACCGAACAATGCATCGAAAGCGCTGGGCGTTGGGCCAGTCGATTGTGGACTGACCGCACGGGCTTCACCACCTTCGCTGCCAGGCTTACGGAAAAATGGATTGTTGGCGCTCAATGTGCTTGCAGGGCTTGCCATTCCAGGGCTCGCAAGGCCAGATTCTGTTCCTGATGCAACAGCCTCCGCTGGCTGGGCTTCTCGTTCCGCAGCTTCGCGCTCGAGGTTTGCCTTCTCAGAGAGTATTTGGTCCCGCGCACCCTCACTCGTGGCAAGCTGCTTTTTGTTAATGCTCACCATGCCCTTCTGCTGCCTGGCATCAAGCTTGAGCTTCTCGATCTCCGGCTTCAGCCTTGTGACCTCCGCATTGACTTCCGTCAAACGCTGCTTGAGGGCTGCGTTCTCTCGTTGGTCTGCCTGCAGCTGCTGAGACACGGTTTGGTGCTGCGTTGACAAGTCTTGGTAGTTGCCTTCGAGCAACGCCAGCTCTTGGCTGAGCTTCTTGGTGGACTCTCGCGAGGTGGCCAATTGTGTCTCTAGCTCCTTGACAGTGCGAACCTCCTGCTCAAATTGAGCCCTGAACTGCTGCAAGCGGACTTCCAGGTCACGTTTCTGTGCATTCGTCTGGTTCAGCTCGGCTTGAGTTACATTCTTCTTGCTCTGAGTCTGCTCCATCTGTCCGCGAAGGTTGCCAATTTGATTGCTCATGTTCGCCAGCTCAGTTGTGTCGCTGGTAATCTTGCTAGCCTCTGCAGCATGGGTCTCATTGTCGCCGAGCAAGTCGTCATTGGCAACAGATGCTGGAGGGGCGCGAGCAGCGGCGCCTTGATTTGATCCGAATGAGCCTCCCGTGTTTTGCTGTGCAAGCGTGGCACCGAACGCAGAAGACGGAACGAAAGGCTTGAATACACTGGCGGGACCTGCTGCTGGTGCTTGAAACCGGCTGGGGCTGCTCGGAGTCGCGGGAGAGCCGCCAACGAAGGCGTCTCGTGTGGCAGAAGCACCTGTACCTTGAGGTTGCAGAGTAGGTGCTTGGGGCTGAGCAGGTTCGTCTAGGCCGAAGAGGTCATCAGCAGCCGACTTGGGCATGGCAGGTTGCTGTGCAGCATTGTCGAAAGCTGGCGCTGTCGATTGTGTCTGCTGTTGCTGTGCTCGCATGCTGGGAGGAACAAGTGCAGGTGGCAAGAACGCTGGCAATGGCGGTGGGTTCGGCCCTCTCTGCTGCCTGATCAAATACATAGCGACTGCGAATTCGTCCTTGTTGAGCTGGCCCTCGCTTTTGATATCTGAGAGGTCCCATATCTGTGCCAGAGACTCTTCCGAAAGTCCAGAATTGGAAAAGAACGACACTGCTTGTTCGCCCGTGATGATACCACGTCCTGCAGGATCGATGGTCGCAAAGAACTGGTCAAACTTGGCCTTATCTGCTGGTGTGATCAACCATGGCTGCCCAGTAGTCTGCGCAGCGATCGGCGGAGGAGCACCAAAGGCCGTTTGACGTGCCAATGGACTCTGGGCACGCGCTGTTCCGGTCGGCTGTCCGCTGAGTTGTCTCGGGATTGGTGCTTGTCCAGTGCCCTGGCGACTCGGCGGAGGCCCGGCTCTTCTAGATGCAGCTTCATATAGGCCTTGCGGCAGCGTAGCAGGCAACGCTGCCATCGCTCGCATCTTCATGCTCGTCAACAAATGCATGGCCACTATGAACTCGGTCTGATCTAAGGCACCCCTTTGCTGACGATCTGCGAGCATCCATATTCTACCCAATGTCTCATTCGGCAGCCCAGCTCTTTCGAAGATGGCCTTCGCCGTCCCGCCATCAATGAGTCCATTCTGAGCTCCTGAGCGCTCGAACAACCCCGAGTACTGCTGCACCTTGGCCGGATCGAGCGGAGGCACGCGGCCTGGAGCCGAGCCCGATAACTGGGGTTGTTGAAAGGCTGCGGGAGCCGGACTCGGTGGTGCTACAGGTGCGCCGCCAGGTATCGTGAGTCCTTCAAATTTAGGAATTGGCCCAGGCTTGAAAGCCAGCTCATTGCTCGGCGGCCTACCCGCTTGGTAATGTCCGATCAACCTCAGCACCATACAGAAGCCCGGTTTTGACAGGAACCCGCGGTTCTCGGTATCTGCAATCTGCCATATCTCGCCGAGGACGTCGGGGGAGACTTTCGTTCGTTCGAAGAAGTTGACGGCATTCTCGCCGGTGACAACGCCAAGCTGATCCTTGTCTGCCTGGTTGAAGAGGAAAGCGAAGGCGCGCTTCTCGTCGGGGCTCAGGTTAAGGATGGAGTGATCTGGTTGGTGTTGTCAGCTTCTTGTCATAGCTCTCTCCCAGCTCGAGCATTGATGCCGCGTACCGGACTCGGACATGTTGCCTAGCACTGGACATGTAGCTAGAGCCGCGCGGTCATGTAAGCACGGGAGCAGGCGGCGGCCACGCGCAGTGCGCGAGCGGTGTATGTGATTGTCTAGAGGAGGAGGTGGTTGTACTCGAAGAGGAGGCGAAAGATTGGTACAGATGCACGTGGAAGTGGTGGAAACGACCGCAAGTCCCGTTGGAGCATGAGCATGGGATGGCTGGCTGACGAGCGTGAGAGCTCCCGCGGTCGGATCATCCAAGCTCCCGTGCTCCATGACGAACTTCGCGTCGTCCAACCTCATCTCCTTCATCTCCCATACGCACGTGCTGATTCACCAATCATCATGTTCACCTTCCTTCAAGGACCACATCGCTATGCTGCCCGTCTGGACATGTAGTGGCATCGAAAGCATCGAGATCACAGAAATACGGCAGGACCGACGACTATCTCTGGCTCTGCAGGTGGGTTGGACATCTGGCGGTAGGGAAAGCCTAGGATTTGCAGAGAAATGTGACAGAGCGACTATCCCCAGCAAGTGAGCCAACTCGCTCTGAGGTCCGTTTGGACGTCTGGTGGCCCTGAAAGTGCGAAATTTGCGGAGAAATGACCGCAACTGACGGCTACTGTGCCCCCAAACAATAGTCACTTTCGTGTCTTCCAAATGTTCTCACACCTCATTTGCGACTCAAACAGCAGAAAACTAACTACAACGTGTCATACCGTTGTACTAAGCAGTGAGCACTCAATCGCAGCAATAGCAAGACAGCAGTCCTCACTTGGGTCCCAACATTTTCTCTTCACTTCACTTCAATCACATGCGACTTTGCACTTCAGAGCTTCACATATCGTTTTTCAGCCTACCTGATTGCGCACAAACCACTTCAGCTTTGACACGACATCAACACATTCCGACCATTTCTTCTCAAGATTTGCCGTGAACAAGAAACCCCTCAACTGCACGAATCATCGCCGCCAAACATGAAGCACAAAGATGGTATTGAGTGCTATCTCAAGCCACGAGGCGCTAGCTACGACGAGCGCAAGTTCGCCGAGATACCGCAAGATGTCGACAATGACAATGACCACTGCATGCACAGCGTGGTCCTCAAGACACGGAACAATTTCAATGTCGTGCTGAAATTTTCGGACACTTTCGACATGTCTTCTGCGTCGCTGATGCACATGCTTGTAGCACTCAAGACGGCAAGTGGCCAGCGGCACCTGTTCAACTGCAGCTTGACCAAGAGGTGGGTCAGCTCAGGTGTTGCTACTGCCTACTCAAAGAAAGGCTTCGGCTTTACATTCACCGGCTGGGCAACGGAATCCAGCATCATCGTGAAGGCAGGAATGTTTGCGAACTATAATCTCGATCCTGCTCGATGCGATATGCTCGTTTCTGTACAACGGGGCCACGGAGTATGGACAGAATCTACCAAGCGGTATGCTTTCACCGTATGCGACAATGTTATCGTAGGCTTACACCTAGCAGGAAACGTCCAGACGACCCAGAAGGATGGAACCAGATCCGTGGCGGCTCGTTTGCTCCACTTTCTGGTGAGATGGGCGCCGCCTATGTCTTCCGATTCACACCTCAAAGTCGAGGTATGAATGGACATTCAATTCCTTTCGGTTTATCTGCTGACAGCTGCAGTGACTTATGGCAGGACAGTTCAAAACTGCCCTTTGCCCCTTGCGAGACCTGTGTCGTCCAGAAGTATTGCATTTGTTGCAGATTCGGGGTTTCGCGCAGACGTAGACCGTGCCGTGGCGTCCCGAAAGCGTGCCAGAGAAAAGACTAGAACGACAGATCAGACGATATCATCTCCCGACACTGGGGTACTCGTGTCGTCCGAAGCCGCGTCTGCGCTAAGAGGGGACGCACTTTTGGACGGTACTGCAGAAGGAGCTTCGACGTCTACATGTTCGCTCTCAAATGAGGCAGTTGAAAGTCGGGCCTCGACTTCGATTCAGATCTGCACTTGTCCGAAAGTGCATCGGGCGAGCACAAAGCGACCAAAAACTGACAAGCTCGTCCGTCAGTATGGCGAGAAAGTTCCAGCCAGCATGCGTGAGACGCCGGATGATTTGGCACAGGATGAGTCCCTGTCACCGGCTGGCAACCATGTTCCAACCAGTACCACTGCCAGGCAAGAAGACGACGCTGTGGAAACAGCTGCGGAGCAATGCATGAGCTGCAAGAGATTCAAGGCGCCGCCATCGGGCAAGAAGATTACCTATCGGAGGGCGCGAGGCCGATACATGTGCGTTCCGCGAAATGCTCACGACGAGGCTGGACCGGAGGATACCGTGCTGCGACGCACAGTGTCCGAAACGAATGCTCCAACACGACCAACTCCAGAGCCCGATCTTCCACTCGCTGATGGCATAGACGAAGACTCCACATCCTCTGCTACTACCTCTGACACCTCCCCAGAGCAGGAAATCAGCCAGTCTGAAACATCCCAGTCAGTCTCAGAAGAGCCCACTGTGGACTCTCCCAATTTTTGGACTCCAGTGACTGCAAAGATCTCTGGGACTCAAGAAGATGAGACCTCGCTCGACCAGCCCAGTATCATTGCTCCGGATTCTATTACCGCAGCTGGCACGGAGGCGGCAAATCAGCCAGTCTCAAACAAGCGCCCAGCCGAGCCATCAAACGACCAACCACCAGCCAAACAACCGCGCATCGAAGAGAGCAACACGACCCGCAACGAGAATCAGACTGTCTCAATCAAGACCGAACCAGAAGTCGACCCAGACATCCAATTTGTCGCATCTCAAGAGCCATACAAGACTATGCGAGAGAGGCGCTTGGAAGAGGACATTGCACGCAAACAGCGGCAGCTAAGGAAGATCGAGCTGGAAGAAGAAATGGAGGAATTGCAGCGTCAGTTGGCAGCCGAGCAGCGTCGCAAGCAGAATTCTAAGCTTGTGATCCAGGTGAAGCAAGAGATCATCGAGCTTGATTAGGTCTCGGAGGCGTCTGAGCGTTGCCCTGTACTACATATCAGCCAGTCTGAAAGATGGGCACCGAGAAGCGAAAGGTCCATTCAAGTACAAAATCATAGTTGAAGCAAATCAAGTTGGAATATGTGGTTTCCTGCCACAATCTCCCAACACTCCCTTTCTTTCTTCTTACTAGATTATCCCAAAGCCAGCGCCAGCAAGCATAGCATTCTCCGAAAACTGAAATACTTTCTAGCTTACGAGGTTAACTAGGAGCAGCAAGATTATTTTCACAATGTCGAAAGACATGACTGCATTGACGACTCTCTCTGGATAGCAGCAGAGGTCTCTGCCTCTCAATCTAGCCTCGACATAAATATTAGCGCCGTGCCTTAGTCGAGAGATCATCACCCTTCTTGGAGAGCTTTGGACTATGAGACCCAAGTTCCAGGATCTTTCTTGTTCTCTATCCATTTATACTCGTCACAAAACTTGGCCATGCGAGTCCAGATACTCGACTGTATATGAGGATATGCAACGCAATGCGATGCAATGCAATATAGTAACATTTACATCTAATCTCCAGTTCTCACTTTAATACTCCATCAACCTCAACTTCTTCCCCACCTCCCTCCTCGCAGCCGCTTTCTCGCTCGGCCTCTCTCCAGCCTGTGAATCTTTCGCTTTGAGAGCTTGCAATAACATTCCTGCATCGAAGAAGCCGTCTGTGAAAGCGTCAGTAAACCCTTGCACACATAAATCGAACAAGGACAGGAGAACTCACATCCCCCCAACTCATCATCACTAACAACCTCACTCTCCACATCCGGCGTCTTCTCCCTCCCAACACCACCACTTCCCTTCCCGTCACCCTCCTTACCCCCAACCGCCCTCCCACTCCTCTTCGCAGGCCTCAAATTCTCCGCCTCCCTCGCCCGACTAGCATTCTTATCCCCCACAGTCCCCCTTCTCACCGTCTGCCTCAACAACTTCCGAATCTCCAAGAAATAACTCTCCAACGCTGCAATATACCGCTTCGTTTGTCGATGTTTACTACTCGCGCAGACGGAAATGGAATTATCTTTGATGATGTACCCAATTCCGAAACCTTCGCCAGATGTAGGCCCGAAGCCGAAGTGTCGAAGGGAAGGATTTCCGCAGTTGGAGGTGGAGAGGATTGTATTGTTGATTTTATCCCATCCTGGGTCGGCGAAGATGGCGGGCATGGTGGGTTGTTCTCGCGGGCGGGAGGGAGAGGATTTGGCGCTTTCGGATACTCCGCCGTCGTTGGATGTCATGCTGGTGCGTTTGGTGGGAGAGGCGGTAATGTTATCGCTCGGGTCACGTTCGGAGGTTGGGGAGCTCCAGCCGTTTGTACTGGCGCCTTCGTCGTCGGAGAGAATGTCCATTTCGCCGTCAACGGAGCGTTGCCAGAGGCACATGAGGGCGTATAAATGGCGGTCGAAACCTTGGGCTTTGGCGCAGTCTTTTGTCATGGCGGCGTGTTTTTCAGTGGCTTTTTTGAGTGCTTCGACTTTCTTTTGAGGTGGGTTTTCGGCCCAGAATGTGCGGAGGAAGTCCACACTTTCTTGGGTTACGGAGCGGATGGCTTCTGTTCGGCCGTGGAAGAAGGCCTTGGTCATGGCTGGTTCGTAGACGCTTTCTACGCGTCCGTACATGCCGTAGTATGCTGCCTGGAACGCCATCTGCACGAATGCATCTGGGGAGAAGCCCATGGATGTGATGAAGTTCTTGCCGTACTGTTCAAATTCCAGTGTTTGGAACTCGTTCTGCTGGATCAAATCTGCCAATCGAGTCTCGGCGAAGCGTAACGAGATTGCCAATTCAGGCACCATATCCCATTCGAGCTTGTGAGGTGTTGTGCTGACATCGCCGAAGCTTTCCGGATCGCGCTTCGATGGGTCTGGTGAGGTCGATGCCCAGAGTGAAGGTGCCTGGCCGTTGATGGTACGAGCGAAGCGCAGGATCGTATCAGTGTACACGTCTGAGGCGAATCGGAGGACGGTGTGGCCATCGACACCAGTGTGCTCGAAGTTGATTCCAGCACTACCGTTCTTGCAGACAATAATCTGCAGCTTGTCGTACCAACGATTTGTGCAGGTTCCGACTTGAACCCCTCGTTCCACCTCACTCGTACCGCAGAGCATGTTCATGCAAAGTTCAGCGCTGGTGGTAGGCTCCGTGTAGTCGAGACAGAGAATGAACAGTGCAGAGTCGACAATGTTGAGACAGTCGGCATTGTTCGAACCCTCGTCTTTGCTGAATAGCTCTCGCATGCTGGACCAGATCTTGCGATTCTCGGTAGTCAAGACACCCACGGCACCCTTCGCGGCATCGCTGATCGGTAGTTGCTCTGCATCATCATGAATGACTTGCAAATTGATGCTGACGTCCTTTTCCGACATGATGAGATCGTTGTTATCGTCAAGCACATCGAACCAGTAGAATTGGCCTCGACACATGACGACAATATGCTTCGCAGCCGGATCCTGGCCAATCTGGCATCCATGGTCTGTCGGTATACGTGCTGTGCCGAACAGGCGCGAGTACTGGTACATGTCCAAAGGCTGGCCTCGCACAGTGTCCGGTGGCAATTCCTCTTTGCGGACTGCGCGAACGAATGCTAGCGCAGATACCACTAATGAGGCAGCGCGAGTGACTTGGTTGTTGCGAGCAGGAGTGGGATCATCTTCGAGTAAGAAGAACGGGTTCAAGTTGAGCACCACCGGATTGTCGTAGTTGAGATAGCTGTCATACCAGAATTGCTCGATGTAGTTGCTCTTGTCCTTGGCGTACTCCTTCAGCTTGTCTTGCAGCTGTGGGCCATCTGTGCGGAGGAATTCTTGGATCGCTCGCTCTGTTTGGTGGTGCTCCCGCGCTGTTTGGAGAGGATCCAGTGACGCCACATATTTCCGACACGTCTGTTCGAGGTCCGGAATGGGGAGCTTAGGGAGACTGTCTTGAGCAGCAAAGGTAATTCCTGGCTTGGACTCGGGATTCTTGTCATGAGCCAAAGGGTCTTGTTGTTCTTTAGTGAATGCCTGGGTCGCGTCTTTTGCGTTCTCGTGCGATCGTTCGGCCATGATGCCGGAGTCTCTTCTATCAGCTCGAGAGATCCTCTCGTCTATAGAGGGAAAGGTTCGAACTGGTGACATGACGAGTGTAAGCATGGGGCAAAGTGAACAAGTATTAGCAATACAATGACGAAACAAGCGTGACGATCGACAAGCCACGCAAAGAAGTTCGGAAGAAGTAGTGACAATCTTGCTGATAGTAGGCCGGCATCGAGAGAGATGTCAACGTATGGGGGACCGAGTGTAAGAGCGAAGACAGAAGGCGTGACCGAGAGTCTTATCCATGGGGCAAGGGAGGACTGGATATCATCAAAGGCAGCCCCGCAATGTAGGTAGAGTCGAAATACGGCGCGCCAGGCCTTGCATATGATGCTGATCGATGGTGAGGCTCCCATGATGGCTGCACGTGGGTGGATCGCCGTACCGCCGAGAATGCGAATGCGTAGCTTTCACAGGACATCAAGAGGAACAAGCTACCCACTGACCTTCTGGAACTGCTCACGGCGAGTGTTTGGCAGCGATGGCGTTTCTTGGAGACCTCGGGATTCCCCAAATGGCGCTGCGCAGGCGGGTCCGCTTTATTGCCGGGTCAGACGAGTCGTTGCGGGTGCTCCGTTGGCACGGGCAGTGCTCTACCTGGGCCAGTTGCGGACTGAAGGAAGTTGATTGTGTTGGAGGTCGACGCTCGAGCTAGTCTGCAGAAGGGAGGTTTGGCGAGGTGCCAGGGTAGCTTGCGGTGGTCGGCTGGTGACTATGTCATGCTCCGGTAGGTGATCAGAACGAACAAAGCTTTAGGCGGCGGTCTTCCAAAGGGAGCATGTGCACCAGGCCAGCGCCGCTTATATTGCGGGCGACATGGGCACTTTTCTGGGCGCGGCGAGCGAGTGACCGCGATCCAAGGCTAAACGGTGATGACGTTGGTCGAGAGCGCGCGGGCGAGAGGAGAAGTTCACGCCAAGCGTCGCGTGGTCTGTTGCGGCTCAGGCACGCGACGCGCTTTCGGCTGCACTCGGCCAGACACGAGACGTCCATCCTCCATCAGCCCGACCGACCAGCAGCACCAGCATTGACAACAGGCACGCCGCGTGGGTGCGGCAGCTATGCGGGAGTCCAACACATGACGAACCTGCTGCTGGTCCTGCCCGACTTCGACGTCCACCCCTACACCCACATTCTACCGTCCCTCGAGCGCGCGCTGGTCACCACCGCCGACCTCATCTCCCTCGACGCGCTCGATGTCGCGAAACGCGCCCAAGTTCCGCCCGGAGAGGTGAGGAAGCTTGCCGATGCAGTCCTGGGCGCGTTGCATAGTGATGCCGCTTCCTCTCACTCCTCCCTCGTGAAAAGTGGCTCTGCGTGGAGTGGGTTGGAGTCGGGCAAAGACCTCATCGACCGATGGACCGCCATAAGCACTCTAGACGACGTCTTGGACGCAGCGCTTGGCGGAGGCATTGCGCGTGGCCACTTGACAGAGGTTGTAGGCGAGAGGTGAGACGATGCTCTGCAATGTAAGTCACGCTCTTTCTGACCTTTTCCTTCAGTGCTGCTGGCAAGACCCAATTTCTCTTGACTCTCCTTCTCGCCGGCCAGCTTACTACACAAGATGATGAGAAGCCAAAGCATGGCACATCCGTACTGTACATATCGACAGAAGCACCACTACAGACCACGCGACTTGCACAGATTTTGAAGACGCATCCGAAACTGGCCGAGTTGGCGATTGAAGAACGCCCTTCGTTGAGCAAGGTTCACAGCACTCATGTTCACGATCTCGAAGCACAAGAACACATCCTCCGCTATCAAGTTCCCGTTGCTGTTCAAAAGCACAACGTCGGACTGCTCGTAGTCGACTCCATCGCAGCTAACTACCGCGCCGAGTTCGATCGAGGAGCTCGAGGGAAGCGGAGTTCGGAATCGCTTGCCAAGCGCGGCGCACAGCTTGCGCAGACTGGAAGCCATCTACGGGCACTCGCCCGCACTCACAACATTGCAGTCGTGGTGGCAAATCAAGTCGCAGATCGCTTCACGCCAGAGCCTCACCTGCACCCCCCAACGCAATCAACGCAGACCTCGCGGCCAAGCACTCCATCCCGAACCACCAATCTGTACCCAGAGCTGCCGACCCAGGGCACCACAACAGGTCTGCTCTCCACCGACGACCCACTCTCGCTCGACCACCAGCAGCGCTTCTTTACAGGCTGGGGAGACGATGAATTTGCCACAAACCTGAAAACGCCCAGTCTCGGTCTGACCTGGACCAACCAGCTGTCGGCGAGAATTGCTCTGCTCAAACAACCCATCTACGAGGACAAAGTGTATGCTGCTGGCGACGAGCGGAACCTCATAGGCTGGAATCGTTCGTGCAAAGTTGTCTTCAGCCCATGGTGTGCAGAGAGTAATACGCCCTTTGAGATTTGGGAAGGTGGCATTCGGAATCTTAAAGGTGTAGATGAGACGGGAGCACCTCCATAGCGATGAGTACTCATTTCTCTGGGGTTTCATGACTGCTGACTCCTAGAAGACACGAAAAATAGTCAGCGCAACATTCGTGAAAGGACTGCCTGGCCGCCCATCGATTCTCTTTTGCACCACAGTAAGCAGCGGCCACTGCTCGGCATCATTTACTTAGAGCGCGCTACTGGGCGTCCAAGCATAAGTATCAGTAATCAGCCCGCCTCGAAGGTCGATGACTTTGTCAATGCCTGATATTCTACACGCTAGAAACGACCAGTAAGCGAGATGCTCGCATACTTCCATCTCTCTCATGTGCACCATCTGTCAAGAACTTGTGGTAGAGTGTGATGTCTCGGCTCGATCGTAGTATGGTCTTTACGGTGAGACTGCATGGTGCCATTATGCTTGTCCCGCGGTACAGCCGGCACCAAAAAGAGTCTGGTCCAGATCTTCGGCATCCGAAAGCAGTTCTTAAAGCCGCTCAGTATACTTCACTTGCTTTTCTTGGCTGTTGTTGAGTCCACAGATTTGTTCATACCACTTCATCTGAAATCACAGCCCGAGCTTTGTCGAAGATCGGAACAAGTCAAAATTCCATCAAAACCTGGAAATCCCATCACGATGCTCAATACCCTCACCGCTGGTCTCCTCGTGCTTGGAGCACGAATTGCTTCAGCAATAGACTTCTCCGACTGGGATCCTCAGCCTGGTCTACCCTCAGAGTTCAGGCCTTTTCTTGAGGCGTAAGCCAAGGAGTTCCAGACTCCGTCCCTTCCACGACAGAGTCTCAATACTGATCTTGATCACAGCCTCGTCAACGCAGCCGAACGACGAGATGTAACCACAGGCTACACAGACTACTTCCCTCCCGATGGCATGCAAACCACTCTCACGATTCACTGCGTCGGCGCGGCCAGGATCCAAGCCTGTAAAGAAGCATTTCTGGTCAATGGGAGGGAGATTGTGGTATGTCAATACACAGCAAAGCTCTTCAAACGAAACGTTGGCATACTGATTGACGTGATGATTTTCTTAGCACTTCCCCAACACCACCTTCGTCGCCGAAAACAACAATACTGCCACAGTTTATGAATCGCATGGAAGAATCGAAATGACGTATCCGGAGCCTGCGGGGAATTGTTCGCAGCAGTAGTGAGTTCATTTTCTCATCTTTCTGCCATTTTCGCGCTGTGGGATATTTGTGTATTGATTGTCTGGGCTGCAGCTACAAAACCCAATACACGATCCTGAAAACCGAGCAAACTGTTGAAGCGCTGCCGAATTTGAGTCTGAAGCCTGAAGCGCAGGTTTATTGGTATCATGATGTTTATGTTTGGCCTGCGACGCTGGCGACGGATATTCCTTGTGATAGTAGGAAGTAGGGGAAAACGAGCGAGTGAGACAGCTGGGAGCAGGGGATGGGGGAGGGGAACGATGAGTGATCCTAATTTGAGGTACGAAGCGGGAATATATTCTTGACTACGCTGTCGAATAGAAGAGGCTTCTCCAGCTTCCGCAAACGCTTCATCGTTTCCCGCAGGTACTAATACACCACTCGTTCAGGTAACAACCGAGCTGTATCTCCTATCAATCACAACGCTCTAACGGCTGAATCGAAGGCGTGACCTCAATGGCACGACAGCTTCCATTCGTACCTGGCACGCCAATGAACACCTCGGTGGAATCTGGAGGGTTCGCGTTGCGGAAATCGCACCGCAGCAGTTGTGTTTTGGTCCCGCTCCTGGTCGAAGTACACGCCAATCGGTTGTTCACAAAACGGCATTGGAAATTCGCAGCAAGAGTCCTGCTATCAGTGAATCGGAGGGCGTCAAGGTTTCCGCCGCCAGTGTCGGCCCTTGGTGAGACGGCGTAGATGTAATAAGTATCGAAAAAGTTGCTCCTGACGATGCCGGGCTCGCTGGGGTTGGCTAATTGAAAGCCCTGGAACCCGTTTGTGAATATCAGTTCGCTAGGGAAACGAAATGCGATGGTGCCCTGTTCGGACGGCACGAGGGCCGTGAAGCATGTTCGTGTTGTGGGCGCGGGGGGAGGTACGGTTGCTGTGCTGGTTTCCGTAACGGTTTTGGTCTCGGGGTCTAGCGTGTTGGTGATCGTCTCTGTAATTTGTGTCGTGGACGTCTCAGTCACGGTTGTGAGGTCTGTTGCTACAGTTGTAGGTTTTATTGTAGCGCAGGAGCCTTTTAGTGACGGTAATAGTCTTGGGCTTGAGCGTCGTAGTTGACGGTCTCACTCCTAAGCAGGAGCAAGCTGCAGCAAAATCGGATGCTTTCGGGCAGCTCTTGCAGAAACGTTCGGGCGTTTTACTCGGCCTGCTTGTTGTTGGGCATTTATTGGGCCTGACGTGTCTCCTGTCCAAAGCTTCCTGGGTTACGGTGACAACAGCAGACTGTGTCACCGTCACAGGGGAAGGCGTTTCCTCGCTCGTAACTGTATTGGTGATGGTGGTAACTTTCGACACGGTCACGGTCATCGTCGTCGTTTTCGTTGTGGGACCGGCAGTGACCGTGCATTTAGCGGCGGCAGTGTATGTGCTGGGACATCAGACGTGAGCGAGGAATATAGCATAATCAACCAGAGCACCTACCTCGGACATGGAGTGACTGTTGCCAGAAGATAGGACGAACAAGCCTTCTTGCCATTGCGGTCTCCAGCGACCTGAAATCCTTAGCTGCAGAACGATCAACAAGCACCGTTCAGCTTACCGCCTTGCTGCACTTTGAATTGCGACACTGCTGGCCATAAGACCTCTCCAGCAGCTCCGCGTCGGGTTCATAGCTGGCCGCGACGTAAGCAATGAAGCAGAAAACGATGAGCTTCGGAGACCACATTGCCTTGGCGAATGCGAGCTGTACGACTTACAGATGACAGCCGAAGGAATCACGGCTGCATATATGTATCGACAAGCGAAGCAGAAAACCACTGGCCTGCGGGATTAGATCAGGCCATCCTCGCGGCTTGACCTGGACGCGGGTGACAAGTCGAAAGCTAGCTGCATGTGGCTGGACAAAAGCAGTCCCTCCTTGTTGCATACGAGTCCTGTGCCGTCTGAACGACTATGCTTTCGGGGCTGCCCTCCAAACTTCCGGCGAACTCTGCCTCGCTGTGACTGAATGAGATACAGGTAGCGGGTCTTGTAAGAGTTGACAGTGAGCAAATTATGCTAGACATCCGAAGTAGTGTTCAATTCCGAGGTACTGAATTCGATGGCAGTGAGTATCTTGGCATTGCACGTACGTCTCACATTGTTGTCCATTTTCGTCCCAGCGTCGAAGCTCAATTAGCGAGTGGCGCGAACTCTGCTGCAAGACTGAAGCTAAATTGGCAACACCTTCGGTCTAGATGTGGAAGCAACGCCCGATAGCGGAGGTAACGACTACGTGCGCCTCTGCCAGGCGGTAAGTCATGAGCCACCCTTGTTCGTGTCTACACAAGAACACTACGAAGGGAGAGAATGTTCGAATCCCTGCGGCACCGATGTCCTGGCCGGCTGCAGTCTAACCCATTTCGTGGCCTAGGTTTGGTAGTCAATGCAAGTGGCGTATACGCTTGACTTGATTACCTGCTAGTCGACGTCCAAAACTTTCCACATCTCGACCATGGTCGGCTGATGGCAAGCCAAAGCATCAGGATTAATTAGGCAGGTGCTAGGAGTTTTCCCCTCAACCACCTTTCGCCGGCTGCCTATTCTCTGATCTCGCACGGAAATCGTCTCTATCACTCAGTTCGGCGTACTTATCAACAGCACGAGCAGAACATGACGCCATCCTGGTTCTACGTACTGCTTGCTGCAGTCAATATTTCCACGACCATGGCAACGAAAGATCGTGGCTCGTCGTGCTGCAGCAAAAAGCCCTACGCCGCTCTTCGGCCGCTGTCTAAAATCCCGGCAATCGCTTCGTACTGTTCATCAAAATATCCTCCCCCTACTTCCACCACAACTACTACGGCACCAACAGTCACAGTAACAGTGGTTACCGGAAGCACAGTTCTGACCACTACAGTTGACACTAGAGTAAGGCTAAGATCGGACCGAATCATGTAGAATCGGGTGAGCTGAGCCAAGCAGACGAATACAGAATCAACAGTCACTACTTTGACGAAAGCCTCCACAACCACGACCACTACCACGACCACCCTTCTCACAACAATTACCGTGACCTCTCCGCTGCCGAACTTGAAACGCAGTGCACCGACACCCGCCGCTGCTCAACTCAAATCATTCACCCGGAATGGCGCCTCGTTCATCAAGACAGCATGTTCATGCATTCAAACACCACGCAAGACAACGAAGACCATCACTCCAACATCTACAGTACGCGTGGTCTCGACAAGAACCTCCGCGGTCACGGCTATTGTCACTGTAACTACAACACGCACTGACACGGTCACCGAAACGGTGACGACCACGGAAACGAGCGAGACTGTCACCCAAGCCACCATCACCGTGGGACCCTGCCCAAACGGAGCACCATTCGCCTCCACTCTAGACGGGGAAAGAAGTGTGTATGGTGTCTGCACAAAGGCCGCATTCCTAGGTATGTTGGAATTCTTCACTCCATCGCTTTCACGAAAAGAAAAAAAAGCGAAGCTTTTCCCAAACTCCAGGCTCTTACTCGTACTCGGCGCTCATGCGTTAACTATCTCCAGTCCCTATCGGCAGGGAATTCTTTACCAATATGAGCCGAGGGCCTGGCCGGGCGTGTGCTCTGGCTTGTGACGATACTCAGCCTACATGTTTGGGTGTGCAGTATCAGACAACATTTAACCTAACCCTCACGATCACTTGCACACTTCAGACAGAGTCGGCGACGGTCCTCACTGCTAATCCTACGCTGGATGCGGCGATCGCGATTGGACCGATTCGATAGGTTAGTGTTGGACGCAAGCAGCAGACGAGAGGAAAGGTCGAAGGTGTTCGATTAATTACGAAATGACTTGACAAGTGATCCGAGTGTGATCAATGATGAGTGAAACCCAGTCGGACTTTTGGACCGGCAGCAAGTACACAGAAGAACCGATATACCTCGGTGTTAAACATCCAAAAGGGAGGGAATGCTATCTATTTCCACTAATGAGCGTCTGAGTAGTAGGGGCGAAGGGCGGATTTTTCCCGGTCGGCTGGTGTTAAGCAAGAGCAATTGGATTTATAAGGCAGGTACCAGGAGCTTTCCCTTCATCTAGCTACTCCATACCGCATTTAACTGGCTCTGATTCCAATATAGCATTTGCAAAAATCTAAGCGCTATACGTATATCGAAGCAAGTCCTAGTAGTAGCTATAATACTCTAGTCGCTTTACTAGGCAAAAGCTATACCGCGAGAAAACTAGCTTCTTAAGCCGAGAAGTAGCATAATACGCTACTTATCTAGTGTCGTAAGTATAGAGAGATCGAGGCTAGTAGAGCGAGCGTATATACGAGCGCCCTTTCTAAGACTATCGAGTATTACGATTCTGCTCTTCTAAAGACTTAAGAGTATTAAAGCAAAGTATAAAGTCGGAGGTATAGAGACTCTCTAGAAACTCGCGTAGTTAGGCTCGTTACTTAGCCTCGTATATAGAAAATAGCCTATAGACTAATATCTAAAAATTTAAGATTAAGTTACGCGATCGAGACCTCGAGTTCCTACTAGTTACGATTCGGTATCTATATTCCTATAGGTCTATACGCTATAATTAGAATATAATAATCGATAGCTTAGAAGGTAGCTAGCTACGATACGAATATAGCTATTTACTTAGGACTTATAGTAGTAGAAACGGCTCTAGGTATCTATAAAGCTCCTAGAAATAGCTTAGGTTATAAGATATCCTTTTTTACTAAAAAAAAAATATAGAATAGAGTATAGTATTTAATCTCCGAAGTTCCTATAAGATTATAAAAGAATAGAAGAGCGTATAATAGGAAGTAAAGTATACGTAGAGTCTTATTATATTAAATAACTAAGTCGAAAAGAGTTCTTAACTAGTTAGTAACTTTCGATCTAATATTCGAATATCGTTTATAATCGTATTACTTAGTAATTAAAGAACCTATAAGATAATAATCGAAGTTAATATTAGTAAAACTTAAATCGATTATATTCTATTACTTATTTCTTACTATTAGCTTATATTAAGAGTAGAATATATTCCTAAAACTAGAGTAGTTCTATTTATAACGCTTTATATAGCTAGAGTAGTAGTATTTATCTTTCTTTATATAAGATATCGAAATATTAAGAAATAGGAAAAGCTTATAATATTCTTATA